GGGAGATGGCCGAATAATCATGTGACTTTCTCCTCTGCGCTGGTTTGGCTCGCTCAAGCTCTCTGTGTAAGTAACCCAAATACAATATATGGTTAGGAATGTACTACTGGGCCTGCGCCGTAGGATGGGGATTAAAGTAATGATGACAGGCACTAAACGTCTGTTCTGTTACTATGTTACCACCATGTAATGAGCTTATTGCCAGTGAATAGGAGACGTTGCAAAACTTTGAAGTTCGAGCCGCTCGAGGGAGCAGACGCTCGGCTCCCTTCGGCCATCTCCCGCATCACTTCTTGAGCTATTCCTGGCGCGAACGAAAGCGCGAACGATTGCTCGAGCGAACGGCCGAATTGTAGAATTGAGCATGCCTATTGGTGATTTAGGCTGCGTTCGGATGCATGGTCGCGTCGCGGCCAACGACGCCAAAACAGTCTTTCAGCCAATCGCCTCTCACTAAAAGCACTGCCACGCGGCCGAGCTGGCTGTGGCGCCTTGAGAGCGCCGCGACGCGGCCGTGCAACCGAACGGAGCCTTAAGCGGGTTTTGCTGAGGATGTACCAGTCACGTGCGTGTGACGCGTCGCGACTCGTGCTTTCAACTTCAAGTTCCAGGTGTTCCTTGATTCCTTACTACCTCCATCGCGGTCTCTATACCCAGCCTGAAGATATTGCGAACTTCATTTTATTGAGCAACTTCGATGACGGAACCTTCAGCCGCCGAATTTGAAGCACCACTCGGTGTTCTGACCGAACCCACTGGCAGCGATTTCATCGGCAGCGTCACAAGAAAGCACTCATGCTTGCCGCCACAAGCCTGTTACTTCCAGTGTTGTGAACCAGACGATGCACAATAATAAAGTGTCACGGAACCGGTGCATGTAGTGTAAGTATAGAACAGCTCGGTCTTCTCTCCGCACCCAGCGATTTCATCGGCACAGTCACAGGAAGGCGCTGCTATGCTACACACCTTGTAGGCTAGCGTACGCCCACATATTATGCCCCTTTGACATTGTCATGATTATGTTCAGAGAAGTTCGAGGAGCGAGTTCGTGTTCCTTCTGGGCTACGACCTGGATATAAATACTAGGTGATGAGATGGTTCGAGCATCGGAGCGTTACGCTCTCTACAGGTGCTACCGTACAGAAGCCTCACTTTCCTATCCCCGAAATGTTTTCTCCTACTCCTTCACTCTTGGCTTGTGTGGTTTTCCTTGTAGCCTATGTCTACAAGAGATGGAGTCGATCTTCACTCTCACATATACCAGGACCCAAGTCGCAATCCTTCGTCTTAGGTTTGTTTGGATCTGTAGCCCAATATACCATCTATCTTACTTCCTGCCGATTTATAGGCCACTTGACGGATGTCTTTCAAGGCGGAGCTGCAAAGGCCGACTTCAAATGGAAGGATAGCTTTGGATCAGTCGTTCGGTACAAAGGGATTTTGGGGGTACGCCATCCACATCATGCCCTCTCTTTCTTACCTTTATGCGCGTATGGATAGGAGGACCATCTCATGATCAGTGACCCGAAGGCGCTGCAATACATCCTGCACACGTCTGCGTATAGCTTCCTCAAAGAGACTGGTGGGAAACGCGCGATCTCCCACATCATCAATGGCCATAGCCTGAACTCCGTTGACGGTCTGCATTTTCCCGTTCAGTTTGTCCTTCGATGAATACTCATCGCCTTCTCGAGCAGGAGATGTACATAAGCGTCATCGCAAGGTCATGTTACCTGCATTCGGCGGACCCGAGGCCAAAGCCCTCTTTCCGGTTTTCAGAAAACATGCTCAGGAGGCGAGTGGTTCTCACCTCGAGCCTGGTGCATATGCTGAGGCTTTGGATATTTCAGCTGGTGTCCAGATGGACGGATACGATATCGGCTGAGGTCACCGAACATAACGGGGATACAGCACCCATAGTGTTCAACATCCCCTCTTGGATGAGCAGGGCGACTCTGGACGCCATCGGGGAAGGTCAGGCCAAGACGTTGATTGCGCTATTCTTGCCTAGCCTCATTCAACGCATCCTTCATAGCTGCTTTTGACTACCAATTCGATTCGTTGCGCAACGGCGATAGCGAACTTGGCAAGGCTTACGAAGTGGTCAAGTTAGTAGTCCCGTCCTTATTTCCTGGTACAGGCTGATTTCTACTCTCGTGTAGTATCACGCTCTTCGGCATCCAGAGTACCTTCCGTGTGTTATACGACGCGCTGATGGATCGCCTCCCGGCGAGAATTGTGGAGAAGTTCTTCACCGTCTGGCCTTCGCGCAGGTGAGCTCTAGCCTTTAAGATACACAGCGGTGTCTTATGGTGAATCGTGGGTCAGGTTCAGGATGATGGTTAATACAGCGGAGGTCTCCACCCGTGTCGCCAAGCAGCTAGTCACCGACAAGAGGGAGGCGATAGGCTTGGGACGGAACAGCAAGGACGTTATGAGTTTGCTCGGCAAGTACTGATCGAGCCTCTAATGTCCGTACTTATCTGACTGCCGTGAAGTGAAAGGGAATCTCTCTACGAACCCCAAAGCCCGGCTCTCTGATGAGGAGCTGTACGCTGAGATGCGGTACGTGTTACTCACTTCTCTTCCCCCCCTGGTGTCCATGGCGCAAACGCTCATAAAATCAAGGATCATCCTTTTTGCGGGGCACGAGACGACATCTACTACACTCACTTGGACTCTATGGGAAATCGCTAAGCACCCGGACGTCCAAGACAAGCTTCGCAAGGAAATCCAGGACACCGAAGCCAAAGTACGTGCACACTCCGGCGGTACACAGATGGAGCTGTCTCTCGCGGATATCGAGGGCATGTCGTACCTCCAGGCCGTTCTCAAGGCGAGTTTTGGTTTGGTTGAATATACCGAGTGCTTGCTGACCTGGCGTGGTGACGGGCTGTTAGGAAGGTCTGAGGCTCCATCCAGCCTTTCCTCGCATTGTGCGGATGGTGAAAGACGACCAGGTCGTCCCGCTGTCCACGCCTATCCGATCCACGACTGGGGAAATTCTCGAGAAGATAGTCATCCCCGCTGGAACAAAAATAATGCTCTCCATTGCTGCGTACAACAGGTGCTGCTTGACATCCGCAAGCCCGAGATCCTGGATACTGACAAAGTGAGCAGGGATAAAGATATGTGGGGCCCCGATGCCGATGCATTCAATCCCGAGAGGTGGCTCTCGGGGACAGAGCGCAGGAAGGACCAAACTGCCGTCGGCGTAGTTGGGAATGTGTATGTACCTCCTCCTTTCCGTTCGTCACGGATCTCACTCTCGTGGCAGCATGACGTTCTCCAGTGGCACGCGTTCCTGCATCGGATGGCGCTTCGCGTGAGTTCTCTACTGGGGAATGGAGTGGCCTTACAAATATTTGAATTTAGGATGACGGAGATGCAAGCATTCCTCGTCGAGCTGGTCAGCAAGTTTGAGTTCTCCCCCGCTGTGGATGAGAGGCGGATTAGGAGGGAGGGGCCCGCGTTGATGTTCCCTGTGGTGGATGGGGAGGTCGGCGACGGGGTGAAGCTCCCTCTTCGTGTTTCCCTAGTCCGGGAGGCATAGCGAGGGGACTTGCTGCACATCATACAATTGTTTTCAAAGAAATCGACTGCTGCGAAGCCGTTTTAGAGACAATGTACACGACACCCTCCACACACAATATATGTGCCCTATATATGCATAGGAGTCGATCCGAAGTCAACCCGGGCGCAGGGCGTCAGTACTGTTCGCGCAGGATAGGAGTACTAGGCACGTGCGCTTGACGCGTCCGAAGTTTGCTTAGTGCTGAGTTCCAACTTCCCACTGCCCCTTTACCGCGAGCGACTCGAGATGCGGAACTTGGGCGCCAGCTCAATATTGCGGCTACCCGCAGAACTGGCAGATGTCCGGTTCGTGGGTGCAACGTGGGTGGCTTTGTCCCGTCTATTCAGTATGTGTAGAAGATGGAATGTCGTGCCGCCTCCACTCGAAAGGAGGTATGTCAGATGCAACCCGATTAACTACGTATATAGTTAATCATATACTCCGTGATAATATTCACGTACTCCGCGTTTATAGTCTATCATAAAGCATTGCGAGTCCGGCGTATATATGGACTTAGTCACTAGGGGGAGGACTAGGACGCTAGCCATGAGTCAGGGAAGTTATGCGAAGGTAAGTTCCCGCTTTTCTTCAGCCTGGTGCGGTGTAGAGCCCCCTAGCTGACTCAAATCCAACGGCTGTACTGTGGCCAGATGAGGGGAGCACGGACAACATGCACGCAGGTGGCCACGCGCCCATCGGTTCTGCTGAGGCGGTGATAGACCTCGATGATGCCCTGGCTAAGGGTGTCCGTTGGAGACGCGACGGGGAGCCCAGCGGCAATGTACTCATAGCAAGGTACTCATATGGGGATACGACCTGATGATACAGTATGGAATCAGAAATGTCTCGGATGATTAGACCGAGTGATCGCTTCAGATATCGGTAAGTGCCTGCCGCTTGACTCGTATATTCTGATACCTCGCGCAAAATATTTCAGATGATATCATACTCGTACATAGTGGAACAGCGTGCCAGCCACCAAATAGGAAGAGGGCAGGGCGAGGTTAAGGTTCGGTCCACCCCGTCCACGGCAAGTCCGATAAGTCCGTGCCGCCGGCGATGGGCCGCGACCCAGATCCAATACCCGATCGCATTGACGAGAGGCTTGACTTTATCCGCGAGCACTCGCCCTCGCTGTCATGGCCGACCTCGTCCTATTAGCTCTGTTGAGAAAGATGCCTTTTATTCGAACAAATTTATCCGGTGGAAAGCGAGCATGAAGCAGGCAAGCAAAAGAAAATCACCTGGACGAGATAGGCAACCGGTCTGAAAGGGATAAGCAGGAACGCGCGGGGTATCAGGATTCTGTTCCCAGCTCGCAATCGCGTCGCAGTCCAGTCTCTCATAGCGCAGGCAGAACTCGAAGATGTGCCGCACTTTCCGCGCGGATGACTTCATCAGCGTCAGCCGCCTTTAGCCTGTCGATTTAAGACAAGCCTAGCCCCGAGTCCAGGTCCGCCATCCACGCCCGTTTCCCTTTCCGTCTGTCCGTCCAATCCTAGTCTGGTACTAACTCCTCGACTCCCGTGCTGGTCACAGATCACAGCCGCCTCAGCCTTTGTGTTTTTCTTTACTGCCACCCTCGACCTCGACATGGCCGACCCCGCCGCCCGCCGCGTCTCGCTGCCCGCCGATGCTTACTCCCGCGCGGCGCACTGCGAGTGCGACCCGGATGCCACAGCCCGCCGGTCGCTGGACGCGTCCGCGCCGCGCCGTGACGCAGCAGCTCGCCCACGCGGAATCCTGAGGCCCTACCGCGCTTCTATAGACGCCGCGTCCCGCCCAGGCTCGCCTTTAGGCTCTTCCCAGCCACCACCACCTGCCTCACCCCCCTCGCCCTCGTCAGCAGCGAAACGCTTCTCGTTCCCCGCGTCCGCGCCCACCCACCGCCCCCGGTACGCGAGCGTCAACATCCCCTTGGCTGCGTCTGCGTTCGCGCACGATATCGACGGCGACAGGCTTGCCAGGGCGTGTGGCCAGGCCCCGCTGTTTCACTACCCGCGCTACGACCAGCCGCCGGGCAGAGACAGCATGTATTTCTCACCCGCTTCCCCCTCCTCGTCTGCTATGACGAGGAAATCAGGATCAGACTCATCGGTATTGGGTGAGCGGGAGCGCAGAGACAGCGCACCGCCTCCCCCGCCGCTGCCTGTGCCAAATGTACGCAAGGCGTACCGCCAGCTGGATCTAGCGCTGCGGGCGATGGGCGTGAACGTCAAAGAAATACTCGCCCTACCCGAGGTTTTAGCTATCCACGAGGAAGACGAAGAAGAGCAGGCAGATGCCAGCACCAGCAGTAGTAGGCGTGAGTGTTTTGGTCGATTGTCTGGTGGATAGTTAATCTGGGATCATGCTGACGACATGGTGGGTGACACGCAGGCGTGTTCGGCGTTGCGATCAGGAAGAGCATGGCGTATGCGTCCACAACGGCGGTCATAGCCGGGTACACGCAACGCCTCCCCGTCGTCGCGCACGCGTGCGTCGAGCAGCTATACAAAACAGGTACTTCTCTTCGCTCCCCCTCCTCCCTACCGACCACCTTACCACCACCTCCCCAGGCATCTACCAGCCGCACCTCTTCCGCGCGCTGCCCTCGCGCGCGCGTCACATGGCGCTCATCTCGCTGTACGACACGCCGCCCTCCTTCGGCGCCGCCCACTCCCTCCGCGCCGAGCGCACCGAGGACGTCTGCGCGCTGCTCCTCACGTACCTCTGCTCGCTGCCTGCGCCGGTGCTCCCGCGCGAGGTCGGCGCGGGGCTCTGGGCGTGGTGCGTCGCGCCCTGCGATAGTGACGGTGACAGTAAGCGGGGCGAGGACGAGGAGAAGAGGGTGACGGTCGCGCAGCTGCTGTTAAGACTGCTGCCGAGGGAGAATCTGAGTCTCCTGACGTACCTCCTCTCGTTCTTCACGCAGATCCCGCTCTCGCCGGAGAACGGGATGCTCCCGGGGGACGTGGCAAGGATGTTTGGCTGGCGCGTGCTCGGCGGGGGGCTGCTCGCGCCCAAGGGCGATTTGCGGGCGCTGAATGCAAAGGAGCGGGAGCGGGAACGGGAGCGGGAGGAGAAGAGACGGGGCGAGGAGATGCTCGGGTGGGTGATGGAGCGCTGGGGGGCGATTTATGAGGGGTTGTTTGGCGAGAGTGGGAGTGGGTTGGATAGGGGGAACTCGAAGAGTGAGAGACAGAGGGCGGGGGAGCGGGATGGAGGGCGCCCGGGGCTGGAGAGGCGAAGCTCGCAGCGGGAGAGGGCAGAGCGGAGAGACGGGCGCGCGCCGTACGTGTCGCCGCGGGCGGGGCACCGCCGGCTTGCGTCGGAGAATCTGAGCCTCGCGCCGGATGAGGGGTCGTCGGCCTCGTCGATTTCTTCGCCTGCGTCCGAGTTTGGGGACGGGAGGGTTGGTCTGGGTGTGGGGCTGGTGGGAGATAGCGTGCCGCCTGGTGAGTGGATGTTTGTCTTGCGTTGTCTGATCTCTTCTGCATGTTGTCGGTGGAGAGATGCTCATGGGGCTGGATGGAATGTAGATTTCGTCCTTAACGGGGCGTTTGAACCAAAGAAGGGGAGTCTCGTGCGAGGGGACTCTGCGAGCGTGTACTCTGTCATGAGTAAGGCCTTCCCTTATCTTATCCGGGCGTGGTGATGGTGTTGACTCGCGATGCTTAGCAGGTTTTGGCGAGTATGACGTGCCCGACAGCGCGGTCAGCTTCGACCGGTTGGTTTTCCCCGGGAAGAGCGAGCACGACTTGGACAGAGAGAACCGAACAACAACCCAGCCTCCTCCCCGACTTCTGGACGTCGACGTTACAGCGCCGGACACGGACGGGCTGGACTGGTGCGATCTGCTCGTGCCGCGCGAAGGGAGGGGAGAGGAGGAGCGCGAGCTGAGGAAGGAGCTCGAATGCGTAAGAGGGGAGAGAGACCAGCAGCGGCGGATCCTGCAGGAGATCAGGAAGCTCGTCGAGACGAGCTAGGTTCGGCGGCTTAAGTTCAAGTGGGATTTGGACTAACGTGCTTGCGCTTTGGTTTGGTTGGGTGTTAAGGATAATGTATTCGGTAATGGTATCGTGCTTGTAGTGTACCTGTATCTTATTCGCTGTAGTAGTTGGAGTGCCCTGGGTTTGTCCATGTAGTATAGTTTTCAGGCATGCGGAACATTAGAAGCAATCGCATTGCGCATTGTAGCACTTCCGATGCTTGATCTCGCAGCATCTCGCTGCCATTGTCAGTTACCCTTGTCATACCATCGATCGGAACCGCCGTTCAGATATTCAACTGCCAGGGCAGGCCATGTCCTGCCCTGGCATCGAGTTACAGTATGTCAGACCCATTAGAAGCGATAAGTATACAGTGGATAAAATGTACATTGTACTGATACTACTCTGATTGATAGTCTTGGTCTTCCGGATTCAAGACAGCCCTGGGTATCTATCTAATCTCTAGGCGCGATGCTGACCTGCAGGGGTAACTGCGCGCCCTTATCCGTCTGCCCCTCCACCATCGGAGCCATCACTAGGCAGGGCTCGCGCCGGAGCCGCATCGCGTCCTTGGTCAGCCCGAAGTGGAACTGGTCGACCAGATCGAAGAGGAAGGTTTGTAATTCCAGAAGGCTGTAGGGTCCAGAGATTCAGTGAATGCACACATGAGAAGGTGGACAAGGAAGGCAGGGGACGTACGCTATCCGCCAGCCCATGCAGGAGCGGAAACCGCCGGAGAAGGTCATCCTGCGCGCAGGCGGTTAGTCGTGTGTCCTTTGTTGGTTATCACGGGAACTGACAAGTTCGCGTACATGCCCACCCCGGGGCTGCCCTTCATCTGCAGCCCTCCTGACTCTTCGAGCCAGCGCTCCGGCCTGAAGACGTGCGCGTCTGGGCCCCATACGTCTTTGTTCCTGCGATAATAACAATTCAACGAACGTCAGCATGATCAGAGTTACAGTTTCATGAAACGCTACTGCGGACCTGTGGTACCCCGCTATCGACACGATTATCTTCGTCCCCGCGGGGATGACCACTTCTGATATCTGCCTTCCCTCCGACGTGACGATGGGCTTCGAGAGGGGTATTACGTCGTCGGTTCGCGGCTGCCGGTTGATGTGGTACCCGACTGGATGCAGCCGCATCACTTCCTGCATCGGTACGCGAGCGTTAATTAAATGTCCGTGATCCGGCCCGACGCTAGCAAACCCAAGCGAGGTCACGCACCTTGAGGACGCCGTTTAGGTACGGCAGGCTCTCGACTACGCGCACCCAGGCGTCGGCGTCGGTGTCGTCGATGTCTGCGGCGCCCCGCGCGATGGCGGCGCGGATCTCGTCGCGCAGGCGCGTCTGGCACTCTTGGTGCTTCGCGAGTTCGTACAGCGCGAAGCTGAGCGTTGCCGCTGTCGTGTCGTGCCCTGCAAACATCACCGTGCTATTTATTTGAATAGATTCGGGCATCGTCGACGTAAGTAAATCAGAGACGGATGTACAGGCAAAATCAGAATCTTCGCACCTGATTTGAGCGAGCATCTCTTCCCGGGAGAGCTTGCTCCCCTCGGTATGCGACGCATTCGCGTTGACTGTACCACGCCACCACGGTAAGTAAATTCCGCAGAAGCCGTCGTCGTGTCCGCAGGTGGACAGTGGATGGACGTACTGAGCAAGCTCAAGAGATCCCCGCCCTTCGCCTTCCCCATGCCCCCGCGCGTCGTGTCGAGCCCGTGCACGCCCTTCTCCTCCGTGACGAGGCTCTCCGCGACGTGCTCGACGACGCGCTTCACGCCGCGCAGGCGGTCCAGCCCGCGGTTGGGTATGTGGTCGAAGAGGAAGCGGACGGCGGCGGGCGGGAGGAGGTGCATGCACCCCTGCGCGAGCACGCCGAGCGTCGTCGGGAGCGCGAACGCCTCCAGTCTGATTCGCGCTGGCGGTGAGCGCGCGAGATCAGATCAAACGGGGGAGGGGCGACTAACGTCATGTTCTCGTACGCCTTTCCCAGCTCGCTGTCCAGATCGTCCAGGGCGCCTATGTCGTAGCCGAACGCCGCTGCACACAGAAACGGGGTGCGACGCAAAGCGCGAACAGCCGGGGGACGGGACAAAGTTAGCATACGTGCATAGTTAGAATTCGGATCGGGGGTAGTACAAAGATAGCGCCGGGCGGACTAACCTTCGCCGATAATATCGAGCGACGCGCGATTGATCCATTGAGGCAGGTTGATCACGCGGGAGCTGGGGGGCTGATGGCAGGTATCGTCTGCGTCGCCGGAGATCATGTCGCTCCATTTGGACGTGAGCTGCGAGAGGGTGAGCGTCGTGGGCTGAGAGAACTGGCGAGAGGTGCCGGCTTACTCTCCCGATGGTCGCCTTGAAGAGGGGTATCAGGCTCTTTGCCTGCGCGACCCCGAACGCGGGGGTCATGACTTTCCTGTGGCGTCTGTGCGTGTCCGCTGTTATTGGGGATTTCTTTGAGTTAGCAGTAGCGGCGTCTATGGCTTGGAGTAACCTCACCGTCTGCCCAGGCTATGCCCGGCCCAAGGAGTGTGCGCAGGACCTCGCGGTCCTGAGGGGGTTGTGTATAGTTTGTTTGGTTTGTCTGGAAAATGTGCTGGATCGCCTTTGGGTCAGAGACCATCAGACGGTCCTCCTGTAGAACACGGTTTTAAGTAGACCACGCTCTTATGGTCCTTCAGTACTTACTCCAAATGGTGCCTTGAAGCGAAGGAGCGCGCCATAGCGGTCCTGCCATTCGAAATCGACTTCGCCTACCTGCCCGCGGCGGATTTGACGATAATTGCCTGGGATAAGCGTGAGAACTGTGGGCGCGGTGGCTGAGGATCAGGAGCCTGACCAAAAAGAAAGGATTCTGATGTGGGACCCCTGATGTATGCAAGAGAAGAACGAGCGCGACGTCTGCTGGCGTAGTAGAGGGCGGCGAGTGCGGCGCAGAGGGCGGGGCCGACGAGGACGAAGGGGAGGATAGCCATGGCGACGATAAGAGCCAAGAATAGGAATAAGGGAAAGTGGTGAGAAGGGATACACACCGGACGCGGGGGACAAGGTTTTTAAACGGTGGGTGGGTGGGCGATTAGGCCGAATGTGGCTTGATATGGTTCGGGTGACATCGTGACTGGCCCATGTCCACTGCGCTGTCCCCGAACGCCTTGAAATAGGCCGCTCGCACAGAACTCCAGATATACGCCATCAAACCCAGGCTATAACAGACGGGCTTCCCGGGATAGACTGGGCCCAGTGCGACTGGCACGCAGCGGGATCCGTGGCGGAGATGGAATCCACAGAGCTGTCTGCCCTCCGACTCGCAGCCCCTCCGTCCGTGATTCAAGGGTTGCGTCCGAGAACCCAGCCTGTGATGGCGAGCAGGATGCACGCACGCGCTCGATCACTGCTGACACTGTCACATCCCTGCTTCCCGATTCGCAGCGCTTCTCGAAACCGATGTAATTCCCCGGGGCACAGCCCCCGAGCCCTGTTCGGAAGCGGGTTTCCTCGCCCAGCGCCGCGCTCCGCCCAACCCGAGCAGCTCCCTAGCCAGCGTGCGGCGCGTGGCTGCTCTGCGCGGCAGCGCTGCTCAAGGCGTGGCTTTGTACGTGTTGCGCGTCCTCTGCATACCTGGCGGATCCGCACATGCGCACGGACAGCGGCACCTGCCACCCACCCGGCACGGAACGTGCAAATGTTCTTGGCCGTGTCGCGCTCTGGGGAATCCAGCCATCAGAGCACTGGCAGCCCCACCCATGTATTATTGGTCCCGCACAAAGTCACATCTGGAAATGTCTATCTTGCGCTATCGTAGATTTCCCCTTCACCGGGCTCGGAGCGGCTGGTTGATCGGGGGCCTGATCGAGATAGTCGCGCTGATTGTCTGCGCGACCACAGCACCCTTGTCACATCTGCGTCCATCATCTGGACTGCAGAATCAGCGCAAGCGTGCTCAGGGCAACAAGACTGAGACCAACTCACAGAGCATCACGAAGGCGTTGACATCTTCGATCACTCGAGGGGCCAGAAGCCTGAGCTCCTGCCGAAGCCTGATTTCGTGTCAGTACGTATCACGATAACGGTAGTTTATGACGTTGGCGTGGGCTAGCACATACTTACACATTCTGCCTTGACAGACCCAGACTATAACAACGCGCAGAATACGCGGGAACGCACGCGCGAGCCCCGTCCGATGAGAAGACCGCCTTCCGATAACGTCCAGGGACCACCGCGCCCTGAATCAGGCATAGTCTGTAGTGGCCTGCGAACACCCGTGTGACGAGGGATCCGGACGAGCCGAAAGACAATTAGCTAGCGTCGGCCCAGCTGCGAGATCTCCCGGCATCACCCTCTGCATAGTGAACTCTATCGCTCGGGCACCCCAATCCCGAATCCCGATCCCAGCCACCGTGCCGACATATCCTCTCTGGGAAGAAGGCACCTCGTATTTCGAGCCGCACCGTCCTTTCGCAAATTCCGACTGGCCGGCGCCTTGCGGTGTGTACATGGCACAATAAGCAGCGATGACGTAGGTCGCGCTACTGAGGCTCCTCGCTTATGATATAGTGGCTTACTGACCTCACGCTAAGCTTCAGTATACAAACCTTCACGCTTCCCAGCACTCGGGACGTCGCTACTGGCGCTGGGTGGTTAGATTAATGAACTGCAGAGCCCGCGGTGACGCTACTAGGAGCACTTCACCCGGGGCTTCTACGCACCAGGCAAAGGCTTTACCCCGCACCTCGCGAGGGGAGGGGAGGGGAGACGGAGGGAGATAGGCTTGCATGGAAGCACGCACCAGGAGCCGCTGTGAATGGTCGACGTCCCGAGGCCAGGCGCTTCGTGACCCGCGCTTCTAGCCTATTGCGAGCGGGTGGATAATTTGGCGAGCCTGCTGTCGACGTACCCTTGTCCTCAGCCCGCGTTTGTATGTGATCCAGGGCGGGAAGTGAGACGAGTGCAACGCGTGCGCCCTTGTGAATCATAGCGGGTCCTTTTCGCAGACGCGCCAGAAGTCCACGGTTAACCCGCCGTACGCACGGGAGCTCCCTCTTTCCCGACCACGATTCCCGCGCGGACCCACAGACGCGCACGCCAGCCGGGCGTTCAGCGTCCCACCAAACCCGAACAGAGACCGCCACCTGTGACTAGGACTGCTCAGAGACGACACGCCCACCCGCCGCGCACGAATGGTCCGCGAAAGACGTGGCGTGCAGTTAGCTTCCAACGCCGATGCCCGCGCACGCCGAGCGTGGCAGCGCCAGGCGTTCAGTAGACCCATGCTCAGCACGGAAGCACCGCGGATCTCGATGGGCGATCGAGATCAACGCGGGGCGGGGGCGGTCCATAACGCGAGATCAGTCAGTCACCTGCGGGGCTAATGAATTGTGGAGGGGCGGGCCCGCACCCGCCAGCCCGACGGCAATGGGTGAAGGAGAGGGAGGGTGTTCTGGGCGGGATCCACGGCGTGCCAGTGCAAGTCGGGGCCGGGCCGACGCTCTGCGGGGCATGGCACGCGGGGGATCCGCCGAGTGACAGACGATCCGCCACGCGCATGGAGTGACGGACAGCTTGACGCGCGGTATTAAATCTGGGCGGGGCGTGCGATGCGCGCGGGCTTGCTCTAGCGGGATGGGTGGCGGGGGAGCGCGGAGGGTGGCGCGTATGTGATGTCGGGATCTAATGAAATAGACGGTGAGGTGGGTTATACTCAATCGAGATGGGTTGTGTTGCAGGCGGCGCCACATGGAGGACTGGATGGATGGACGAGCTTCGCACGGGTCACCCGGCCGTGGTTTACTAATATATACGGCGGAAAGTGGGTGAGACCAGTGAAATGGCCATAACAAAGGACGAAAGCTACGACGTGCCTTTGTCATCCGGAGGGCCAGTCGGAAGCGAACGACGCGCTTTCGCCCAGGACAGTCGTCAGTTAGTAGAGAAGAATGCGGAATGGAAAGGCACGGGAGAAGCCCAGCCCAAGCCCAAGAACAGGGCCAGGCCCGGCGTAGGGAAAGTCGCCGAAGGATGGAAGTCTCAATGAAGAGAAGAGAGGGGAAATGAAAGTGAAGCAGCGGATGGAACTTGAATGGAGCGCGCGCACCGCTGACGCGCCGAGCGAGCGAGTCGGACGACACGAGCCCGACGAGCCCGAACGACGATCCGCGTACTCGACGGGGGGGACGTGATGGACTTGAAGCGCGTTGATTCTTGTTGTCTGACAGGGTTAGAACAGGCCCTGGTGACAGCGACGGCTCCGCCGGGAGAGGTATGAATTCCCCTCGCAGGCACCTATGAATTCACCTCTGCCGGCGGAGCCGTCGAACCCAGAATACCAGCAACGCCGCGCGTTGGCTTCCATTTATTTGTAGGACGTCAGGGACATATAAAATCCTGCTTCTATTCCTAGCTTGGGGATTTCCGTAAATGTACCTGCTCGTCCAGGAAAGTCAAAAGAGATTCGTTCGGTCGTCGAGCTTGCTCCAACGGATAGGTCTCAGAACTATGGGGGTAGTCGAGGACGTTAGCCGACGGGGGGCCCGTGCGAGTAGCAAAGACTCTTGGGGTGGAGAGCGCCAGGAGAGGTGTTCATGTGAAGTCTCTGCGAGGGAAAGTCAAACCTTGACTTGGAGGAGGAGGGAAACTCCGACCTTTACTCTGCGTACCGGCATTCCCGCCTGCTTCCTTCTGTTCGCTTGAAAGCATGTCAGGGATATAGGTCCGCTTATATTGCTAGCATAGGAATCTCGGTAACCATACCCGTTTGACCAGGGAGATACAAAGATATGTTGCTAGGCGGCCGAGCCTTTTTCAACGGATAGGGGCGTAGTGGAGAAACTTCGCCTTACTGAGGAAACCGTGAGGGTAGCAAACCAGTTGGAGACTACGAGATCAAGTCCAGACTTGAATTAGAGTGCCGGGATGTATACATGTCTGGTTGCTTCTCAAGTTCAGCCCGTAGCAATCCCAGATCGTATGTGCTGGCTTGGACCTCGGGATCCGTAGTCGTAAGTCTATGCGTGGTGACTGGCCTAGTCGAGGTTCTACAGGGTCGAGTGTGATTGGGCGAATGGGAGTGATCATCGATCATCACCGCGCTAATTCGAGGAGATGGACAGTGACACGCTGTGCTGTGCTCGTAGTACAAATGCCCTATACCACCTGCCCATCGTTGCTGCTTGAACCTTGACCTCCAACCATATGTCATGCACCAGCAAGTTTTCAGCAGAAAACCGCAAAACAGGCCGTCAAGTTCAAAGTACGAATGAGGGCTGAGGCGGACGTAGACCGCAGGACAGGAGGCTGTCCGAAAGATGGTCTGAAGGGGTGATACACAAGGCTCGGGAGTAGCCGAGGAGATCGACTTGTGATCTCCATATTAGCGCCCAAGCATCCACCTTCCACAATTTATGACCTCCACGATACCCTGCCTCCGCCTTTCTTGTAATTTTCGTTTCATTTCTGCACGAATTTGAAGACTGTTTCATACGATGGATGGACACAGAACGGAGGCGAAGGAGACGGTGGTGCCGCCAGAGGTGACGGCTGAGTTGACGCAGATTCTGTCAAATCTTGTGTTGGGCGACAACCAGATCCGTTCAAAGTGAGTCTTACACCTCGCGATTTGGAGGATGGAAATGAACAGGAATATGCGATGCAAGTGCGGAAAATGCAGTGAACGAGAGATTGGCTACGTCGCCAGAACTGTACTTGCTAGCCTTGGCTCAGTTTGCCCAGTCTTCAGACAACGAGGTGGTACGTATTCATCCGCAATCACTGCAATAACATACCCTCACACAGCCCAGATGCGGTCCTTTGCGCTCGTTCTTCTGCGCCGCTTGCTCTTCCGCACACAACCCAACACGAGCATGACGCTCTACGACCACCTCTCCTCGCACGCGCTCACGACGCTCGAGCGCCTCCTCCTGCGCATCCTCAGCACCGAGCCCTCGCCCGTCGTGCGCCCCAAGGCCGTCGACACCATCTGCGACCTCGCGAACAACTCGATGGGGCGCGGCCGGCCGTGGCACGCGCTCCAGGCGCAGGCGTTCAGCATGACGCAGAGCGAGGACGCGAACGCGCGCGAGGGCGCGTACCGCGTGCTGAACGGGTGCCCGAATCTGATCCTTGATTTGGACAGCGCGACAGTGGTCGGGCTGTTGCAGAAGGGGCTGCAGGATACGCAGTCTACCGAGGTGCGTCGGTTTCCCGCAGACTGACCTTCCATGTAATGCACGTACCGACTTGCGGAACCAGGTCCGCCTCGCCGCCCTCCGCGCCTCAACAACGTACCTCTCCTCGTGCGAGCCGCACCAGCTCCCGCAGTGCCTCTCGCTCATGTACCCCATCCTCGACACGCTCCCCTCGCTCCCGAACGCGCAGCTCCCCAAGTTCCTGGGCAGCCTCACCCCGCTCGCGTCCTCGCACCCCTCGCTCTTCGCGCCGCACATGCCCGCGCTGCTCACCTTCCTCGGCGCGCTGCTCGCGCCCACCGCCGACCCCGGCCCCACGCCGACCGTCGCGCGCCCGAACCCGAGCGCGTTCGCGTTCCCGCCGGACAAGGCGAAGGGCAAGGAGCCCGCGGAGCCGGACGTGGACGAGGAGCGCGAGGAGGTAAGGAAGGCGGCGCTCGAGCTGATGATCAGCCTGAGCGAGGCGCGCCCGGGGATGGTGAAGCGCGTGAGTGGGTGGGTGCCGGTGATCGTGCGGGGGTGTCTGGAGGGGATGGGCGAGCTGCCGGATGATTCGCTGGATATGTGGTTAGACGCTGACGTGCGTTCTTGATTTATCTCTGATCAGTACTCTGTTACCACTACTTTCCTCTCCAGCCGGATGATGACCCCACGGACGACACTTACCCCCATATCTACGAGCACAGTCTCGATCGGCTGGCTATCGCCCTGGGCGGTAAGGCGGTCCTGCCGCCCGCGTTCCAATACATCCCAGCCATGCTCGCAAGCCACGACTGGAGACTCCGACACGCAGGCCTCATGGCCATCGCTGCCGTAGCGGAGGGTACATACAAGGTCTAAGTTTCGCTCTTACTCTGCGGGTCGTGGTTGAGCCGCTTCTAGATGATGCAAAATGAGCTGGGCAAGGTCGTAGAGTGAGTATATGCAATGGCCACCATTTCTTCTGTTTAATAATGGTTGAGAAGACTGGTGGTCCCTATGTTCAAGGACGAGCACCCGCGCGTGCGGTACGCAGCTTGCCAATGCGTGTAGGTTTTCAGTCCTAGTGAAATGGTGCGATACTGGCTGACGGACATCCAGCGGACAGTTGTGTACGGACATGGAAGTATGTTGTATGTACCCAAAGGGCGCCCATAGAGTGACCAAACCCCGTCCAGGAAGTCATCCAAGAAAAGTACCACCAAGAGCTCTTCAACGCCCTCATCCCCACGCTCGACGCCCCCGAGCCGCGGTACGCTTTCCCCCTCCTTAGTCCCGGCGGTATCGAGACGCTGACGACACGCCTACACAGCGTGCACGCCCACGCGGCTGCGGCGCTGATCAACTTCTGCGAGGGCGTCGCGCGCGACACCCTGATCCCGTACCTGGACCCGATCGTGGAGCGCCTCCTGCGGCTACTGAACCCGAGCGGCGACAGCGGGCGCGTTGTCAAGCGGTACGTGCAGGAGCAGGCGATCACGACGCTCGCCATGGTCGCCGACGCCAGCGAGGCGACGTTCGCCAAGGTACGTCCCTGTCTGTTGTCTGTCTTCCACCGCCATCGGACTTACCCTCGCGATGTCCGCGCCTAGCATTATTCGTCGATCATGCCGCTGCTGCTCAATGTCCTGCAGAATGCGAGCGGGCCGGAGTACCAGAAGCTGCGCCTGAAGGCGATGGAATGCGCGGGGCTGATCGGTGCGTGCTTGCTTCTCCGGGCATACGTACATTAGCTTCGCGCGCTAGCTAACCGGACGTCTGTCTGTCTGTCTTCCCCTTCCCCAGCCATCGCGGTGGGCCGTGACGTTTTCCGTCCTGATTCCGCGCTCTTCATCGAGCAGCTGATGCGCATCCAAAGTGAGTTCCTTCTCTTCGCCCCGGTCGGTGCCTGGCGCGCGCTCGATCTCGTCGTCTGACATGTGTCATGCGTACAGATAGCCCCGTCGAGGCGGGCGACACTATGCTGCCGCACTATCTGATTGCGACGTGGGCGAAGGTGTGCCAGGCGCTGGGCCCGGAGTTCGAGCCGTACCTCCCGGTGGTCATGCCCGCTCTATTGCAAGCTGCGAGCGCGAAGGCGGACGTCTCGATCTATGAAGGTGCGTGGGATGCATATGCATTCTCGGTCTTACGGCGCTGCCGCTAACCTTGTGCTAGACGATGACGAGGAGCACGAGGAGAAAGAGGGCTGGGAGACGATCTCGATGGACGGCCAGCAGGTCGGGATCAAGACGTCTGCCATCGAAGAGAAGTGCCAGGCCTTCGAGACCCTGGTCATCTACTGCTCGACCCTGCAGTCCAAGTTCGCGCCGTACCTGCCCCAGAGCTTGGAGCTCGTTCTTCCGTCGCTGCGGTTCTACTTCCATGACGGCGTCCGCGAAGCGTCCGCCCTGTCAGTGTACCCCGTCCCTGCAAGTCTTGCCACTACTGACCGTCCGGCGCCAGATTGATCCCGATGCTCCTGGCGTGCGGTAAGAATAGCGGGACCCTCACGCATCAAATGGTCGAAGCTTCCTTCACACAGCTCGTCAACTGCATCGCGTCCGAGAATGATGCCTCGTTCCTCGCTTCTCTCTATAGGTCCTTCACCGATTCTCTGCGCGTCATCGGCGGGTCAAGTAACCTGCCGTATGAGATACAAGCGCATGCTGTCGATGCGACGAAGCGTCAACTTCAAATGCTGGCGGACAGACGTAAGATGCGAGCATCGAGGTCGCAGGCTGAGTTGGAGGACGAGCGCGAAGACATCGCGCTGCTTGAAGAGATGGAGGACTTCGCGTTGGAGGATATGGAAAAGATGCTTGCAGCTTTCGATAAGAACCACCCCCTCATTGTCGCTATCGCAAGTGTCAAGGACCTCGGGTTGCATCTGGGTGAATGGAGCGAGGGGGAGGGTGACGCGGAAGGTTGACACACCCATAGATTGCTTCTGTTGTTTTCGTTTCTTTGCGTTTGTAAAGAATGTACATATACATCTACATCGACATATCACGTCCGGAGCATCGGCGTGACATTTACACTTCCCTCCACTTTGGCTTTCCATCGGAATCAATCCATCGCAGCCTGCTTAGTCTGTTTCCAAGCTTCTATCGCTTGCCCTGCCTCTTCAACGAGCACATCATACGCGTGCTTGATGTGACTCTCGTCCGTCCTCACAGCGCCAATAGCCAGCCGTATGCAAAAGACGCCGTTGAGCTGTGTCTGAGTCAAGTGTATATCCCTTCTTGCCGACAAGCGACCGTAGAATATCCTGTTCAGGTCATTCAGCGCTTGTAGGGCCAACGGCTGCTCAGTTTCAGGCTGCAGGCGGAAAACCGTAAGCGCGAGGGAAGGCTGCGTCACGAGCGCGAAGTCGGGGGATTCCAAGACGTAAGAGGCAAAGAGGTTGTTTAGCTCGATACACTGGGATCGCATGGTAACATGTTCAGTACTTGACTTGGCTTTTTCCCGGAGAAAATGGACGCTAGGGTCGAGCCTGCCTACCTTGCGAATATACCTCCGGAACCCTTCAGCACCGTAGCTTCGCAGAACGAACCATACCTTGAGTGAGCGGAAACGCCGACCGAGTCCGAGATGCCAGTTGCGGTAGTCGATGACCGTCCCTACGTCCCTGTTCAGGATGTGTGTTTCCGGCTAATGACGGGCAGGACAGAGCCCACCTTCATCCCCGTGCTTCGTTCGCAGAAATTCAGGGGTAATGTCCAAGGCGTCCGTCAGGAGCTTCCGGTCTCTCACCCACAGCGTCGACGCGTCGAAGTTGACCAGCCCCCACTGAACATAGTCGCATGTTCGCAATCTCCCAGACTCCCGTGGAGATAACGCACCTTGTGGAAATTCGTGCAAAAGCTCGTCGCATACTTGTTGATCGCCTGCAATTCGCCCGGTCCTCGGAGCTCCGGGCAGACGAACGTCATACCCGCCCACGCTGCGTCGACATGCAGCCATATGTCCGGGAAGTCTTGCACTGTAAAGAAAACAAGGTTCGTGCAAGTGATGAGTCCGAGGATCAAATGTCCTACTATAGCCTATACCCAAGAGCTGGAATTGAAAGTACTTACGGACTTCACCGATCTCATCGATCCTATCAATCGCGCCAGAGCTTGTTGTCCCGACTGTCGCGACTACCAAGACAAGGTCAGATAGCCAGATCGAAACTGCGTGCCTTTATGGCAGTCCTATTCTCAAGAAGCTGGTGCCTCTGGCACGCGAGTGGTGGTCACGATGACACTGTCAACTTACTCAGCACAAACGGATATTTCCCCCTCTCCTTGTCCTGATCGATGACCGCGCGCACCGTCTCCCCTCGCAGCGCGAACGCGTCCTCCTCCCGCACGTCGAGCACGCGCACCTCCAGCCCGAGTACGAGCCCCGCCTTCGCGCCGAGCGAGTGCGTCTGCGAGGTCACGTAGATGATGAGGCTCTCGAGCGGGATGGACGGGTGGAGGCAGACGAAGCGCGAGCGCGCGGCGACTACCGCTGTGAGGCCCGAGTCCGATGCGGATGTCTGGGGAAGGGGACGTTAAGTAAGGTTGGAATGGTTAGTAGGGATTAGGCGGGATGGGAGGTATGAGTGGGGTGAAAAGAGTGAGAAGAGACGGGCTCGATAGTGGTTGTGTGAGGAGGCGCGCTTACCTGCATGACCCCACCACCGATCCCACTCGTATTGTAGAAGTCAGGGATTAGCCCTAGGAGCTTCGCCGACCAATCCATCACTACCGCTTCAAGCTCCGTGCAAGCCGGAGAGCATGCCCACTACATTCGAGATGAGACGAAGGAAACGAGGGGAAAAAGGATCGTCGTGATGGTCGGGCGAGTGCAGATTGGATGGATGGGATATGGGAGACGGTGGGACAGGGAGATGGGAAGTAAACGTGAGTTGTGACGTACGTTAAACCCGGGATTCGCAGCGCTACTCGCGTATAGATCTCCTAACATTCCCTCGAAGGTACAGGCGGTCGGAAAGTAGGCAAAGAACGAAGGATGTTGCCAGTGTGTCAAGCCTATCATTCGTTTTTGGGGTATAGTCGTAACGAGGCGAGCTAAGGAAGGAGATCATGAATACTCACCTGGCACGATGAGCTTCTGGTAGTCATCCTGGATGGTGTCGAAATCCTCTCCATCCTCCGGTGCTTCCGCTGACAAGGTTTCTTTGTCAGTCGCACCTTTCCCAATGGTTAAGATGTGAAGTGCGGACGAGGGTTATATCAGAGGTGGTAAGAAAAATGATTGATGTGGGAAAGCCTGACGGTGGCGGGTCGAAGGGACTTCGAGGACGGGAGAGAGGGGACAAGACTAATAAGTGGATATACCGTACCTGGCAAGGCCTCTCTCAGGTAACCAGGTTCCACTTGCGAAACCACAGGCTTGTCCTGAAGCGAGTAATAGTAATCGCATATACGGTCAATGGCTTTATACCCCGCCTTGCGAAATCTGAGAGGCATCGTTACAAGAGTGTCTGTAAGCTCATAGAGAAAGGCATACTCCTCGATGTCAAGAGGCATCGTCTTCGATGGGTTCAAGCCGGATGGATTTCGCAGAAGGGCAGAAGGAAGAGTCGGGTTGCCAAAGTCGAAGTCGACCGCAGACTCATGGCTGACTTATCATCGGAAAAGAGCTCGAGACTCGTCCGTCACGACAATTTACCCGGTGATTAATCCAGTCGTGAGTCGGAACCGTGGAGGCTACATTATAAATATCCCCCAAGCACACAGTTGATGTCGAGCCTGAGGAGAACATGATATCAAGGTACAGGGGACGAGCTACAAGGGATGAGCTAACATGTGAGAGTATGAAGCTTGGGAGCGGCTGCAAACAATTTCTGTCATATGAATTATGTAACAGGGAAAGTGTCTCCTCATGTTGAAGACATGTAATGCATGAAACAGGAAATACACACATATCAGTACATAATTCAGCCATCTGTCTGAGATTAGCAGCCTCTAGCAATCCCTTCTACGATTCTCCACTTCTGGACTGTATACCATGGAGAATGACCTCACACTCAAACTCCGTAAGCCTCCCACTGGACACAAATTTCCCAAGCACACTCTCCTGCCGCTCCCGAGACCACCTACCAAATGCCTCTAGATCACCCCGTAGCCTGATGCCATATTCATCAAAGACAGGCCAGCAATGTGCCAAGTTGGGGTCAAGACCACGAAGAAAGGATTGGATGCTTTGACTGGAGCCACCCTCTGCCGAGCTCAAGCTGCCGAAGGAACATGAATGATATGAAGGAAGGAAAGAGGTCAAGGCAGGGCTGGAGGTACTCGGTGGATCCTCGTCATCATCAATTACTATCACCTCGGGTGTAGCTGGTTGAATCCTAGTCGTTATAGAGCACTGCACCGTAGAGGCTGCCCCTTTTGAACCAGCAGCAATGGAAGGACATGCAGAGACTTGATCGGGCTAGAATAGCAACTAGTGAGCAGGATCATACGAATAGGTATATGGAAGATGACTGACTGCAGAAGGCTCAGGAAGGTCGTATACGGGCTGTCGAGGCCAACTAGCAAGACATCCATTGTCTGTTGGAACAATCTTTCCCCCTGATCTTTTACGCCTATAGCAGTTGGTAAGATATTTGTGCAGTGGCCACTCTCGCTCAAAGTGTCGGAACACGGGGTATTTGTCGCAAACCTAGAGGATCGCGACAGGTATCAGTTATGCCTTGCTTGCTAGCACTGTCGACTCACACAGTCTACCAGACGGCGGACTTGCTCTCTCTGCTGCTTACGCATTGTCAAACCTCTCTGAAGGTAGTCCTCGGAGAGGAGAGAGACCTGCGCCTATAGTACGTGAAGGAAGCGAAGAGTTAGTGCACAAACTGCAGATGATATAATGCCATGTTCACGAATATCTTCTGTGCTTCTGCGCGACCGACAAACGGCTGCAATGCTTGCAAATACGTCGAACCGTCTGACTGTATTCTGCCTGAACCAGGCGAGTTGCCTTATAATGCTGGAGTCACTCGCCGATGATACAATAGAGATGCTATGTTACATACCGCGATCAAGTTGACATCTGTCCATTCGGGGGAGATGCAAAGAGGTCCGAGAGGACGTTCTCGCGAAGATATGAACTTGAACCAAAGTCGCGCTCACATCACATGGTATGTCCGTGTTGAAGTTGTAACTTTAACCCTGTGACGAACACGTCGATAAGGCCGGACCGCACTTCATTGACGAACTCGGAGGCATTCGGAAGTCAGTCAGGTATCGTCAGATATCGCTATGATAACGGAGGCGGTGAGACGGTGCTATGTTTATGTCGAAAGAACCGGAAATCTAAGTTCCCATACAAGGACGACAACGGATTTAAATCAGTACTAGCGCGCACAGAGCATTCCGCACTTCAACTCGGCGGACAGTCAACCTCAATCCCAGTACATGCAAATGGAGCGCCGCTCACATCTTGGTATCGGTCCCTTCCGGAGAGACGAGAGATTCCAAAGCAAGTTCATCGCCGAACCGCACTCCGAGTTAATCCAGAAGCCTCGCCCTAATGTATGATCTTCTCGACTCACGACTCGGAGGCAATCGCGAACGGTCACGCAGTCAGGCGGTCCGTTACACCCCCTGGGAGTGGGAAACCAACAGGTCTCGTTCGCGACAAGATGAACAACGTCTAGTTTGCCTCTTACCCATGAACCATACAATGAACGGTAAAAAGGGTGCATAGAGAGCTTCCCTCGCCTAGCACTGACAACTATTCCAGACGGCCGACCTCCAACCCGAGAGCAGTGCCCTCCACCGCTTATCAAGTACAGCCACAGTCCCGAGAGCTACATGGCCGCGCTTGAGCTCGTCATGCCCAGGCAGCAAGCCCGCAGCCTCCTCGTGCGTCCACTATCTAGCATGCCCACGCAGCCTAAATATCTTCTTTAGGATGAAGTGCGCGCAATGGCCGAAAAATATCTAGACATGACCAAGGGCGTCAGACAGCAGCGGCAGGACGTGTGGGAGGGGTTTATAGCAGATGTACGTTGCTCCCCTCCGTGGATCGCTCGCCCGCGGTGGGACTCAAACACCTCGTCAGACCTGTGCCAGGTGGCCTGTGTTCGCCCGATACGAATCCGCATTCCCTCTGAGGCGGTACATGTCTGGGATCCTGATAAAGGCGAGCGCGCGCGCAGCAAGGCGCGCTACGAAGAGCGTAATCAGCGCAAAGCCTGGCGCAGACGCAAGGAAAGAGGCACCGCGAGTACGGACCGCCAGCTCTGCCTCACGCACACATGACTAACGTGCTGACAGAAGCCGTACGTTGACATTGTCAAGAGGCCAATCACGAGAAGCCAGGTCTCGAACAAGGGTAAGATACCTCCTGCGAAGACGAGCAACCCTCAGTCCACGAGGCAGACCGGGGACACCGAAGTGACAGTGTCCAAGAGTACGTGGGCCAACAGCGAGGCATCGTGGCCGAATGCTAGCAATGCCGCCGCCCCGTCAGTCGCGGGTCCATCAGTGCCGTCTCCATCCCAGACCGCGCCGTCCGCGCGACCCGCACCAACCGTCTCTCCATCCGCCGAACACACCGTCCAGGCCTTCCTCCGCGGGCTGAAACCCAACCTAGAATACACCTACCCCGTCCTCCGAGCATACGGCATCACGCTGTGGGAGGACCTGGAGGCGTTCAGGTGCTGGAGCCGCGAGAGCCAGGAGGGGGTCCTGCGCCAGTTCGTGCGTGACGAGAAGCTTACCGGGTTCGAGTGCGATGTCCTCCTGCGAGCATTGAATACCCGCGCGGAGAGGGGTGTGTGAAGTAGGAGATCTGGTTTTCTTGCAGGTGTCTCCAGCGTCGATGATATAGTTGCAAGACTCTAAATCGTGGCAGATCTATCGATAAATACGTGCACGATGGTAGACGCCGCGTGAGCTTGTGTAGAGGACACTCGAGGAAGCATTCCAAGCCGCGAACGAGTAACTCGTACTCCGGAGAGGACCAGTTGTAGTCGAAGGAACAATCGCAAGGGTCACATAAACACTTATGGCAGAACCGTGGTCGAGACGTGTTGTTGCACCCAAGAGAAATATATGCTGCGTTTGTGTTTGCCTCCGGGTCGTTAGATCAAGCGATGAGATACCGGGATGGGAGTCAAGGAACACCGAAGACGCCACAACAAACACGGGTCAGCCGGGGCAACGACACATCCTGTGTCCAATTACCCAATACGGTCACGTTTGCCACCGGAGCGAATGCATACACCCCGTATAGAACCGACCGACGAGAAAAGTTCAGGGAGGAGCGAATAAGCAGCCAGAAATCCGTCCACAGCGAAAGTAATTCCGAATAAGACGGATAGAAAGAGACTGAGGTGACGTGACATTCCAGGCAGGGAGCATGTATACGCCCAGGTGACCCACGGAGGAGGGGATAATACGACCTAGAGGCCTGGTCTTCATTTATCCGTCCACCCTCATCTGAACTCCCCAGCTGTCCCGACGGTGCAAAGGATATTTGAACCGCCTGGTCTGGGCGGTTCTGATGAAAGCGCACGGACAGCATCCGCCTTGTGCATGTCATGGGTAGAGACAAAGTGAAACGTGCATTTAGCAGGGTTGCGGGAGCAGGAGGAGGGCGACGTGGTGGTGATGGTGGTGGTAACAAACAAAGAGGTGCCGGCAAACTCCGGTCGGCAGACGTACCAATCTTACCAGAGTTTCCGTCACAACCTCCGAGCTCTTCAACGTTCTCAACTACTGTCGCATCGTCCAGATCCAGAAGACGACATTATACCCTTTGACGCCGACCATGACGCTCTCATTTCGTGCTATATCGATGCGCTGCCATGATTCCTCAAGAACAAGCACGAACCGTGAATAAAATTAGCGTCCTACCAGGCTGCATACCGAGGGACCCCCTCAGTTGCAAACCATTACAAATGCGCAACGGCTCGCCGCACCGTCTCGCCAGCCTCCGCGAACATTCTCGAACGCGCTTTCCATTCTCCCCAGCAATCGTCTCCATCGCCAGTGTCGATGGCGTTCGATAGAGCCTCGGGCCGGATCCGGGCCGTCGCTCGCAAGAACTGTCTTCACCTGAGTGTCGTCATTATGGGGCGTGACATATCCCCTCGTCCTATATAAATCGCTACAGCGCCGAACACGGATCGTTGATTGACTTTCTGATTATCCTCTCGTCCTCGACCCGCACATCGCAATCAAAACACTACAATGTCGTTCGGAAAGATCCTCTCTCTTAACACGGGCGCAACGATCCCTCAGATCGGGTTGGGGACGTGGCTCAGCAAGCCTAATGAAGTCGAGAACGCCGTGCGTATCCCTGCTATGGCGACCTCTTCCCCCAAAGCTGTACTCAACGATTGACGCTCTCAGGTCGAAATTGCCGTGCGCAACGGCTACCGCCACCTTGACCTTGCGCGGGTTTACGAGAACCAGGATGAGGTCGGACGGGCCCTGAAGAAGGTTATCCCGAGCGTTGTCAAGCGGGAGGACCTCTTCATCACCTCCAAGCTTTGGAACAACGCCCATCAGCCGAAGGAGGTTGAGAAAGCGCTCGATGAGACCCTTGCCCAGATCGGCACCGACTACCTTGACCTCTATCGTGCGTTCCACCCTGTCTTTGCTCTGCTGACCTTATCCTCACACATGCATCCCGCAGTGATCCACTGGCCTGTCGCCTTCCCGCCCGGCCAGGGCCTGTTCCCCAAGCACCCGAGCAAGGAAGGCGAGGTCGCGCTCGACCTCGACACCTCGCTCGTCGACACCTGGAAGGCGATGATCGAGCTGCCGAAGACGGGCAAGGTCCGCGCGGTCGGCGTGTCGAACTTTACCGTCGAGCAGCTCAAGGGCATCATCGCGGCGACGGGCGTCAAGCCCGCCGCGAACCAGATCGAGGCGCACCCGCTACTCCCGCAGGACGACCTCGTCGCGTACTGCAAGCAGGAGGGCATCCACCTCACGGCGTATTCGCCGCTGGGCAACAACCGTGCGTTCTTCCCCTGTTTTGCTTCCCTTTTGATGAGTTGCTGATGCGCGGGCTTGGTTTTTAGTGGTCGGCAAGCCGAAGCTGACGGACTACCCCGCCGTGCAGGCGATCGCGAAGAAGGTCGGCGCGACGCCCGCGCAGGTGCTCGTGGCATGGGGCGTGTACCGCGGCTACTCGGTCATCCCCAAGTCCGTCCAGGAGGAGCGCATTATCTCGAACTTCAAGCAGATCGAGCTCAGCAAGGAGGACTACGAGGAGATCACGAAGCTCGGGCAGACGCAGCACACCCGGTACGTGTTTTCCCGTGATTATGTTGTTTCGATCGTAGCTACTAACGTGTGACCTGTCGTCCAGCTTCAACATCCCGTGCAACTACTCCCCGCGCTGGGATATCAACATCTTCAACGAGCCTGAGGAGGAGAAGGCGTCGAACAAGGTTAAGATACAGTAGACGCTTTCTCTGTCCCAAGGAAAAAGAAATTGTACGATTACGACGTGGAAGTAAAATTATCATTATTGAATGACATGGATTTTGTACATCTATATTCCCCTTTGCGGTCTTGATCAGAAACTTTTAACGTATGCCGCGGTTCGCATCAGTGCGTACTGTGCCCCGAGACGGAATTCAGGCAGGTGCACTCCGCATGCGCGCATGCGATTATCGCGCTATCAGTATTATGTTGGGGGGAGGGGAGAACTCTCAGTAGCAGGTTACGAGTCCTGAGGTACGAAGGATGAGTCCTTATGCTCAAAGTCTGTGGTCTCACATCTTCCGAGGGCCTTTGTTACCGTGGGAATTGACTAGGTGCAGGCGCGGTACGGTGCTGGGGTCCTCGACGCGCCGTTTAGGATTTGAGTGCTTTGATTGGCTGCCGCATTGCTGTGGCACGCTAGTTTGTGTGACGTAGGTACTTGGGTGTTTTCTTTGGATGCGCTTTGGCTACGTCATGTACTCAGTATACTGTTTAGTTATTCGATTCTGTCAGATTATATATTGTATTACCCTACTTGTGATATTTGCGATGATTTACGCATCTATATCAAATATATAGGTCCCTTCATGTCTAGGTTGGGGTTTGCATACTGTGAATTTTTATTATCGGTGATTGATTTTCCCACACCTAGTGTCTGTCCGGTAGGGAATGTGATTGGCTGTGATTACTTGTTCGTGTGCTTTGTAGTGCCTTTACTGTTTGTTCAGCTGTTCTATTGCTTGTGGTTGTGTACTCAGTTGAAATAATCCTAGCAAACGGAAGTTGAGTGTGCTTGCCCGAAGGGCGATCGCATACAGTATATCGAGTAGATACAACGAATATATAGTATTTTCTTATCACCTTATCAGTCAGGCCCACCCGCCCCCCTGACCATGCGCAACACGGCACGAGCTCGCAAGCTTGAGCTCGCAAGCTTGAACCCGCAAGCCGAAATCCAACATACTCCCCATCATGTCTTTAGCTTCTGAAGTCCAGATTCCAAAGCTTGATTTTTTCCACCGGTCGTCCTGATGTTTCGGGTGAATGTCATTACGAGTCCTGAGGAATGAAGGAAGAGTCTTTACTGGGCTTCTGCTGAATGTTGAGTACTGTGGGAATGTAGTTGCCGAGACACTGTGGGAATAAAAGATGTAGTTGCTACTACACATATTTCATACTCCGCTTGTAGTTGAGACTACAAAATGAGATTTGTAGTCTCAAATTTCAGTGATTGCCACAGTGCTCTTCTGCATGGACCTCAAAGAGTCTGGCCTTTCAATATATTATATAAACTATACACTGGATGCACACAAATATTTTGGTGATTTTATGCTTGTCCTGTGGGCGCGTCTTTCTGAACCATGACTACAACTGGTTTACTTACTGAATGCTTGTTGTGGGAGTATTATGGCGGAGGTCGAATTAAGAGATTTCCATGCCAGGTGGGATTCTTGCAATCTGATTGGCTGCACACTCATTTGTAGTGCACTCCCCATTGACTTCAAAGTTTTGTAGTTGGGACTTTAACCGTGGCAAGCTATGACATTGGAATGCACTTTTGCAAAATTTGCTGTGCAACTATGTCACAGCCATACTCTGCCCCGACTGTGGCACTCAGACTGCCATAAAAAATGGAAACAATCCGCAAAAATTTGTATATATTGCTGGAGTCACATGTGGTGTTATTAGTGCTATTGATAGTGCTGCACAGCATGACTGATTACCCTCAGTGGCCAGAAAAAGTCAGGAACTTGCACAAAAATACTCGGAAATTCCAAATATATTCTTGTAACTGGGTATGATAAGTACTATTGATAGCACTTGACAGCATGACTCATTAGCCGGACTTGGGAAATAAATTTAGAAAATGATATCATGTGAATAGTTTCAACTCTCAAAGGGTTTCCTACAGTAAGCATGCTGATTCTGAACTCTAATCTTGCAGTGGGTCACTGCTTTTGCAGGTATTGTCACAAGTCCTGGAGTTGGATATGGACTCAACTTTTACATTGAATATACCTGTTAAAATGTTGCATTACTGGAATATACACTTCCATTGGGCTATTTCTGGATCTGTTATACCAATTCAAGCCAGTTCTGATGTAATGAACCTGTAACTCTGACCAAAACTAGCGTTTTCTATGTTGTACTTCATTATAAGTCCTGGAGAACAAAGGAATAGTCTTTACTGGATCTGCACCAAACAATGATGGTTGTGGGAATGCAAGTGCCAAGAAGCTGCAGGAGGAAAATGCTGCAAGAACCCATAGATCCATGCCTGCAGTTCCCTTCAAACAGCCATAACTCTGTGATGCCCAATAACTCATAGATTTTCAGAGGTCATAACCCACAGTCTCATATCTTTAGCCAATAACCAGTGAAGCCAACTTGCAAGTGGGTGTCACCACTACTGTTTACAGTGTGAAATGCTATTTATGTTCCGGGTGTGTCCCAAAGTGTGTACAAAACATCCACATATTGGTATGGGTTTTCACAGACTCAACTGTATTACTGGTGGTGCCTTAAATGCCAATAGTCTACATGTGTATGCATGCAAGATAAGCACTAACCTTGCATATATAGTCTTACAGCTTATAGCCCGGGACTCAGGGCTCGTGTCCTGCCATGCTTGCAATGGCCCACTTCCACAAGTGTGAGAATCACTGACAGAGCCTCAGTTTGATTCCTGATGCAGCTAGTCCCGCCGTTCTCTCTGTTGCCGCGAGAGGCAAGTCTGACTGGCACTCATGCAGTCTGCAGTTGTCTGGTTCATGCCGCCCTGATGGGCGGGGCGAGCATGGACGAAGATGTAATTATAACGTTCAGTCATGAGTACCCCAATGTGTATACGACTGATCATGATATATCGTTTGTACTCATAGTGAATTACAAGCGACCAATCATCGGGAGCGTGCCCTCCCGACTTTGCCCAACAGGTTGAATATGACCATCAGTCCACCAGGGACCGCGAGCCCGTAGCGCTCCTTTGTATCGTACTCTCCGTTAATCCATATTCCACAGTTTCGCGGATTAATACCCACCCATCCCTCCCACGATTTGAAGTAACTCCGATACTAGATGTGACAATATGCCTCCATGCTCTCGCACGTTGACCCAGATATGAGACTAGTGCCTGCCGTAGCTACCAATCGTGGTCCAAGGCATCCGGGTGTGGACGATCCAGTATGCATACGGTGCCATCCGGATCGGAAGCACCGCGAGCAGTATGATTCTTCGTCATCCGTCCGGTCTACGATATTCTTCATCGCAGCGCACACTTCCTCGATGGAGAGGCGGTCGTCGAAATTCTGCGTCCAACACTTACACATAAGAGCCCACAAGTCATCACAGATGTTTGCTGAACGAGTCGGACGTTTCCCTCGTTTCCAACTATCGTAGATGGTCCTCCAATCCCTTCTGAAAAAGGTGTCTGTGGGATTGAACACCTTCGCCGACATCAGTACGGTTGCATGGCGTTTTCGGAGTGACCGAAAGCGAACCTTCAAACATATGACCCCAAACCGGTACACATCCCCCTTCCGGTCATAATACAACCCGGGGTAATCATCGCAATCTGTACAATGAGGCAGGCGGCACGGCGGGTGGACCCACAATCGTATTTGACGCTTGGCATCAACAAAGATTTCCTGCCGCATCTGCTCAACCAGGATGATACAACACTCCTCAAAGGGGAGGGACGTACTTTACAGAATTGATCGAGATCATCTTTTGTCATGCCAGGCATAGATACGCGCAAATGGAGCATGGCCTGCGCGGTCAAATAAAGCTGAACACAGTCAGCCCTCGGATGTTATGATCAAGTGCATGCAGACGTACAATGGCGTGCAAGTGATTCACACTAATATCTTTCGCATAGTCCGCTAACGGGATTGCGAAAGGAGTGACAGCGCGGATTTCCTTGCGAGAAGATTGACAAACACCAAATATTGGCAATACCGATGAAATTCGCGACAAGGACAATAGAGTCACGGCCGCCATCACATCGACATGCTAAACGGAGTACATGAGTAAACAAACACAGTATCGAAAGACTGTAGCACGTACTTCGTCCATTGGGCGTCCTAGTGGAAGAATCAAACATTTTGCGCCGTTCCAATAGGCCGTGCTGAAATCGGGCGAAACACACAGAGATCCAGGTACATGACGAATTGAGGCTCTGTTAAGGCAGGAAATATCTAGCGGACCCCGGACTTTCGTTTGGAGGCCTCCCGGGTCCAGATGAATGTGGCTGTCTCCATGTAAATTGAAAGTGCGAGTTGGATTATCCGCTTCCCATTCCCATCCGGCACAACTAGCGTGCACGAGACAGCTTGATGCACGGAAGAATGCTACCGCTCCAAGGGATCGGGAGACAGCATTTAGCAAGGAGTCATTGACTTTCGAGACTCTATTCAAGTGTCTCCATGCATTCTTCAGAGCATAACGGTAGGCTTCATCGTCGAGAATCCAAGGTCTGTCGGCCCGATACAACTGCTTGTTAGTATGAGGAAGGTAATCAGTCAAATGCTCTCGCGCCAGGAGGAAGCATTTCTCGGCGAGAAATGCATGGCCCTTGTCTTCTTCGGCATAAAAGCGCTTGTCGCAGGTAGATTCATCCAGGAGATATTGAATGAAGGAAGGATCTGTTACAGAGACAGGCCCGTCTTGCAGTACAAGGGAACCGTTGTACGGGTGGCCAATAACAGAAGACATGGAGACTAGGAACCCTTCCAGCAACCAGCCAGGGATATCCAAGAGATCACATAGCCCTTTGGCAGTCAAAGGGGTGAAAGTGTGCATAATCACCGTCAAAATGGCCCTAAATTGCATGTCATGCTTGTTTCGGTAAAAAACCATGTATCCCCGTTCCAAAAGATCAAGGTAATATGCATCTGTCAGGCTATGTGAGATATCTAGAAACTCAAATTATATAAACCACACTTGCTAGGAGAAACCCGTCGCGAGATATTCGCTATTCCTTTCTCCACCCTTCGGCCGACCTTCTGCAGTAAGATATCCTGGATGCGACCTACTCCAGTTCTCCCAGTCGCTGTGGACTGGCTCAACACCTCCACAGAGTAGCTTGAATCCCTTCGCAGGATGTTGATGAAGTCCTGCGATGCTACAATGGTGTGGCCGCATTGCGACATATTTTCGTCGGTACCGCTGTTGGTCTGCAACGAAGGATGCTCTGGATTGCCAAGAGACATAGATCATGAGAGTACACTGGCAAGAGAACAGAAACCGAGTACTCAATAATCTGGAGGTAGCCCGCAAGAGCCTTAAGGCATGAGGAGAGGACGAGTGCGGCACTAGTCTGTGCAGAAGAAGCACAGCTCAGATATTTGCCTCACTCGAACCTTGTGAAACAGGCCACCAGGTGGCCGGGTTATGCACGTGGGTCATAATTTGGATAGTTCGAGCATATAATAGTCAAACACCCATGGTAGTGTCCAGGCCTGTCCAGGCTGTGGAGGAAGGATCGACAACATCCCATTTCCTGGCCTTGAAGGGTTTGGGCATGCTTGAGACGGCTTGCACACCTGGATAATAATACGGCCAGACTCTTCTGTGATGAGTCGGAAGCCTGGAAGCTGCCTTATCGGACTTGCGTGGTGAAGTCACGGATATGACGACTTGGCCGAAACGAAATGGCCATGAGCTCGAGAACTCAGAGTCATATTGAGGATCACGTTATTTGTGCATATGTATCTCAACCGACGTGTGACATCCATTAGTAGAGGATGGAGTAACAGTAGATGGCTACAACGCGCGATCCATAGGGCATCCACCATATCAACACCCTGGCCGAACTTCAGTGAATAAGTATACAAAAAACCGCCATCATTGCATCTCCGTATCCGAGCCGCAGCAAGCCATTCTGGGACTGCTCGGACCGGGTGGTTCTTCAAGAATCATGATTGACTTGCCGCCCGTTACATTCTCTGAATGCGGAGCTCCCTGACACTATGAGAGGGTTCCTGGACGACTGCAAGTTTACCAAATATCTCGTACGTGAAGTGCCATCGTTCCCACCAGTTCGCGAGCGTCGTCACTGCATGTGCTGGCTGAGATCCTCGTCGTCCTCCCTGAGCGCCCCCCATAGCTTTATCCACGCGCTCCGCACACCTTCCCACAAAGTGACCTGGTGCTCGACAAAGACCCCGACACACCCTCGCACACCCTTCTCCAGGAGAGCCAAGTATCCTGGCAGCTCAGCGGCCAACTGGCTTCTCAGTAAGACATACGACTGGCTAGCCTCCATGAGCGCCGATGCATCTCGCCCGCCGGAAGCCGCAGACGGATGCCGTAGGAGGTGATGATGTAGGGGCCGCAGTGTACGCATTGCGCCCAACAACTTCATCGGTCCTTCCATACTATCGCTTAGCATGTCCAAGCGCGCGAGCACCCTGACTTCTATGGAAGCCTGCATTATTTGACACGCGGGGAGGATATAGCTCTTGGACACCACCACAAAGGCATCAAATGATTCGCTCAGCTCTGTGCTATTGTCGTCGGAATCCACGAAATTCATCATCCGGCCAAAAGCGAGCGACCAGACCAGCTGCTGCATGTGGAAGTCCTTTACCGATGCTACCCACGTCTTCACAACCCTGTGAAAGTCTTCGATAAACTTGGCGAACAACTGCAGCTCCCTCTCGTATTGTGAGACATCTTCCGCTCCGTCGTACCAATGGCTATGGCTTCCCACATTAACAGCGCCAGGATCAGGCTCCCTCTCGTACGGGAGACTCTGGTTCAGACTTTGGATGAAGCCCAGCTTGAGGCCGGTGGTTAACCCAGAGAACGTGCGTTTCTTTCTGCTATGCGATTTCGAGCCCACCGTGTTCAAGACCACCCGGACAACCTCCCGCCGGCGCAAGCCCTCGTTCACGCTCCGCAGCGCCCTCAGTAGCTCCTCTCTCGCCTTCTTCAAGTTCTCTTTATCTCTATGGCCATCGGGGGTCTCTTCGTAAATGGCTTGCAGAAGCGCCGGGTACCTAAGGAAGCGATGGACGGGCTTCTCGAGGAGGGATCGGAGATCGCGCGTGTCGGTGAAGCTTGAGGCCTTTGACTCGACAATCCCCAAGTACGTACGGAAGGCCGGAGATGGGGTGGGGGTAGTCAAGGCGGCGTAATGCGAGAGCGACAACTGGTGGCCAGAGATGTACGTCTTGTAGAGTGGCTCCAAGGAAGGGATCTTCGGACACAAAGATCAGGAGAGAGTAACGAATCAACGAGACGGGAGACGCACGAGATCCAGGAACACCTGACCAACGCAGCTATCCGCTCCTCCGTCTTCGAGCATATTACCCAGCGCCGGCTCGAGTCTATCGCAGAGGGTATCAGAGAGTTCCGCCAGCTCGACGATGTTTCCGAAGATACGCCTGACGTCATGGGGAGTCATGGGACTGGACCATGATGGATTTGCATCTCTGGACATCGGAGGAGACGAGCTGGCAAGGGAATCGACTTGTTCAGAGACTCGGGAAATGTGTTGGTCTGAGCGGCTCAAGCTGATTAGCGCACATCCGAGAGGAGGTAGCATTAAGATGGGGGCTAACCAAGCGCCAATGGAATGCAATCAGTCCGTATCAAAGCCAATTCACTTGCGTAAGCTCTTTCCGAGGATAGTAACTCCAAAAGAGCATAAGTGCGCTTTGAGAACAGCGCTGTTACCTGATCAACCAAGGGTGGGAGGGGTGACACTAGATTCCTTGCCCGAGCCTGCTGTGTTACCCCTTCTTCACCTTTGCCTCCTGGTTAGATATACATCTCATTCAAAGGATAACGAGAGAGCTTACTCGGTGGTTGTCGCCATGTATTCCATCTCTGAGTTATAGCAGCTATCTGATCCTCTACCTGCCGTCCGAGTATGGACAATAAGATGTCCTGCGTACGACCCACTCCCGTTCGGCCGGTCACTGTCGAGCTGGTAACAGACGTGACTTCCCACCGCGAGTCTCTCCTTAGGTCGACGATGAAATCCGAAGGCGCTCGAAACTCGTAAGTGGCGTCGTGCTCGCTTTCATCCGCCTGCGCTCGCGCAGGGGGTTGACATCCAGGGATTTGTACTGAACGTCGACTCTGTATGCTCTGTTCTTCCAGCATGATTTCTGCGGGGGTTGGGTAAGCAGTCAGCGAGCACGGATTGCCTTTGTGTTGCTTCGACGTCGGATGGACGTCCGGGTCACTGCATCCTATTGGGTTTCTGCGAATACAATGCAAGATTGGAACGTGGATGATCGGTGGATATATACCAGTACTGCATTAACGACACGAGGACCAAACGAGGACAACAACATCCGATGACTGCACCCCCTGCCACTGGCACCAGTCACATCAGTGCTGTTGGCCGTCTTCGTAGGGGACCCTTACCAGTGTGAGTCGAGGGAGACGTGATGTCTCACTCGTCAGATAATCTGGCCAAGTTTGATTCGACCTGAGTACATAGATAGAGGAGAACAGCCGCTGACAGCTTCGTAAAATGAATGCATGCTGGTATCGTTGAGGCTCCCGTTCGAGTAAGTACTAAAACGAGCGGCTCTTTATCCGCTGGTAGCCACCATAGCAATCGATTCCATCCCTGTCGTTCTCTAGGATAATCCACTACAGTCTAGTTACTTAGAGGTTTACGTACTGTTACTGCATGTCTTGTCGTAGTCGCAGTTTGACGTTCGATGTGGGGTCGGACTGGTCCACTGTAGGTCCTACATTCCCACGAAACCACCGCCCGACATTCTACACGACCACCTCCTGCCTGCTCTCGAACTCTACAATTTCTCCCGCAAGGTCCGCAGCATCCTTTCCTACCATTTTCTCGACCACATACAAACTCGCGTCCATCCCCGAGCTTACCCCACCCGCCGTCACGATGCGAACGCCAGCCTCATTAAACCCCGCATCGACCCATCTCCTTTCTTTCACCAGCTCGACCTTTCCACCCGCCTTCGCCGACACCTCAGACAGCATGTCGTAGAACATGTGATGCGTCGTTGCCTCCTTTCCCCCTAGAACGCCCGCAGCGCCGAGGATCACGGAGCCCGTGCAGACGGACAGCAGGACCCTGTGCGCGCTGCGCGGTTCCAAACCCGCGAAGCGCTTGATCAGGTCCAATACCTGCTTCCCGTCCTCGCTTGTAATTAGGTCGGTGATGACCTGCGGACCCGCGCCGGGCACGACCAGGACGTCGAAGTCCTCGAGCCGTTCCCTGACCTGGACGAGCGTGGCGTTCGGGGTGAGCGTGAGCGGCCCGCTGGCCGCCGTTACCGGGGACGCGAGCGCGAATGTAGTGGAATGGAACACAGCCGGAGCGCTCAATGATCGGCCGCTTAGAACAGCGGAGAAGATCTCCACTGGCCCAGTGAAGTCCAGGGCGTCGGCACCAGGGTAAAGCAAGACGGCGATGTTGTACTGCGACATTGTTCGTAGTAGGCTTTGTGTGGAATTACGGTGCGAAGGTGAGTGCTTTTGAACCATGCTCCAATCTTTCTCTGCTTGCCATCATTGCGGCCAATCACACCGCTGAAGCCCCGAAGGGTAAATTTGACTATTGAATGATTCGAAATTTTATGGTGGTTCGATCTTGGATACGACGAGCACTGCACCGCCAAGGTTTCGCGCAAAACGCCGACCCTTCGAGTATACGATACGAGGTGCATTCTACTGACCGTCGTAGTATGTCTAAGAACTGAAGGATACTAACTGAACTCGATATTGCTCACTGTTTCGACTATCTGCTATTGTAGGGGACACGATAGCGCAGTCCGGTCTGACCTCGTCTAAATTGTGTCCGTGTCTTCCAGGCAGGTATACCCCATCACTGGCGTGAGGTCGGGGGTTGCTCTGGACTCCTAGGTGCCAATCGTGTCTCGGTTGCGGTCCCCTGCCCGGAGAGGGTCGAGTCTCGCGACAGCAGGAAGATTTTAGCTAGCTCCACTCTCGAGCATCCTTGTCGCACCACGAAGGTCGCCTACGTCGAGGTGCGTTAGTTCTGATTAGCCGCTGTATGATCACAGTCCATGTACTATTTGGCTCGCTGCCGCTCAATATCGCGAGCCATCCAGGCCCATCCTCGTCGTCCACATGGGTATCTGACTACGGTGGTACGGATACTTGGTACTCCGGAAGAGAGTAGGCAACTCTGTATTGGAGCCCGCACAGGCTATCTCCAACCCTACTCGTCACAGTGAGGTTGCTTCAAGGCGATGCCGTGTGCTGCCATGTGCGTCCCAATGAGGTAACCTTTTGCGTAGTAGTTACCGCTGACTGGCAGCTTGTCTCTGGTGAATATAATGAATAAATGCACATTATACGAACATGAGTGAACCAGCATGGAGAAAGCTACAAAAGAGCCCTTTGTCGAGACCAGACAAATACAACCAAGGCTACAAGAGCGATACCCCCGCCCACTCGGGAAATAGGCACGGACGAGACTGCAGCCCCTGCTATGGGATTACGCGGCGTCGGTTGCTTGTGCCACTGGCCTTCGTAGCTGGCAAGGGGCCAGACACGTTTGCCGAAACCTGTGTTGCATTTATGACATGACCATAGCGGGCCGTCAGCTAGCACTCGAAACCACCACTTCCCAGGTTTTGCTTTGTGCTCGTCTGGCTGAGGGAGATTGGTCGTCTTGTAAAAGTCTATTGAAGAGTCCTCTAGCCTCTGGACGACCTCTGACATTGTTGGTCGGACAAGAGGGTCTTGCTTCCAGCAGTCTTGTATCAGTGACCACAGCGCATCAGTTAGCTGGGGTGCGACTTGAGGGGTGGGACGCCTAGGTCGTATTCCTTCCATGACGGCATCTTCCCAGTTTGTCTTCTCATTTTCCCATAATACGGAATAGTCCAGTACGAAGGGCTCTTTTCCGGTGAAGATCTGATAAACGTATTCGTAACCGACCCTCTAAGAAACATATGGCTTGCATTCTCACCTCATAGGCAGTCATCGCAAAAGAATAAACGTCGCATTCAGGAGTCATATGAAGCTGCTTCTTGTTCGGTAACTGGTGTATAATCTCCGGGGCAGAGTGTACTGCTTTCACCTCGGCCAAGGATCGACCGGTGTAATCGTACAACCAAGCTTGCGGCTCCCAAAGGGGGAACTCGCGTATGGCGACGTGGCCATCAATAATGAAGATATGTCTCTACCGTATGGCGTCAGCGAATGACATACAGGTCATGATCGGGGTGGACGACAATACTCACTGGCTCCATGAATCCGTATACTACAGATGGTTCCGTGTGGTGCAGATGGGCCAAAGCTTCGGCGACCTCCTTGATCTGACAAATATTGAGTTCCTGTCCCAGGGCTGATGCCAACTACACCCACCAAAGCAAGCCTATCTGCTGCGGGATTAGCCTTCAGAAATAACCTAATTTCCTCGAATGGCACCTCTGGCAAGAACTCGTCATAACGTGTCGTACCATAAGATGGAAGAATATGAGGATGCAGCATCACTACTCGTTCATTGACACGGCGAACCATGTCCTGAGGTCTGGCCTGAAGATTGAATGTTAGAAGACTAAGTGTCAAGTAGCACTTAAGATACGCCATTACAGTTGAATGGTGAATTTGCTTGAATGGTATATCGTACCGGCCGCGAAACATGGACAAAATACGTGTCTCTGTTGCCGACCTTATATAGGGCGCATGCACAAGGAACGGCTTAGAACAAAGTATCTTCCAGGTGCTATCAACCTAAGAAGTACCGTCAGACGACACATCAAACTACCTAAGGGAAGTACAGACCAGAGTTTTTGCGCGACCCGGGATATCAGTGAAACGTTCCCCCTATTGAGTGATAAGTAGTTATATTTTGTGGAAGGTAGTAACGAACATACAGCAAGCAAAATCGCCTCTATGGCTATCCGTTCGCTGTATGTTAAATTCGATAATTCCCGATTCGCACCGGACGAGAGGAGTGCGTGCTGTAACATGGCCAGAGGTTCCGTGACGCCTTCGACACTATACGCATACTGGGCAAACTCCTCAGATCCTGCGATGGCGTCCAAGGATGCATCAACGTTCGCTATTCTGAGACTGACGGCACTGCCAGTGCGCAGTGGGACAAGACGAAAACACCAGAGACTCACCCATAAGACAGTAGGCCATATCGTATATGCAGGGATAAAGCAAGAGAACCTCAAGAGGATGGGTTCTGTCGTCAACTTGTAGAGGACCGGCCTGCCTTCACGCAAGTATTACAATACGAGCGATTTCTCGGATATATTATACCTACATGATAGGCATGTAAAGGACCTTGCGTGGTATACTTTCGCGAGCACCTGCTGTCCTACTAAATATAATATCTTGCATTTTGAAGAACGAGCTCTAAAGGGGGGAAGCACATTATCTATCCATTTAGAATACAATTAATATCTCACGTGCCTCCGGTTTCCACTCGAGCTTCAGGATCTGATGATCACTGTGTTCTCCTTCTATGAGACAGACTTTTCTACCCGATGTGGAGATCACGCGAGCTCGAAATGAGACTTCCCAGCCATAAGAACGGAGGAACATGGACCGGACTTCGCGATGCGCCTCAGTAGATGGTACCGTACATAATAGAGAGGCGTAGATTAGGTTGGGGTCTTTGCGCATATCTTCTTTGATGCCGTCCACGAACTGAGATACTACTTTGCAATTTCGATGATGGTGTATACCCTATGGCCAATGCTCTCGTCAAAGTGATATACCTCAGAAGGGAAGTATTTACGAACCTGATTCTCGCAGTACTGCCACAGATGGCGTAGTGGACCTGCTGCATCAGCACCGCAATGTTCCCTGAGTGCAGCCCAATGTATCACATCGTATTCGAGGAATCTTCCTAGGGCGGACATGAGATCATCATCTCGAGCTCCCGAAGACTTGCATAGATGTTCTATCCAGCAGCTAGATGCATAGTCGAAGCCTTCCCCACGGGGAATGAGCCTAGAATCAGAGGCAATACTTATCCAGTATTGGACCGTACAATGAGACCGTCTGTGGTGGCGCAGAGCGGCATGCAGGAGCTGGAAGCATGCGACGGCGATCATACTATGGTCTGAGCTTGGGACGATCTTGAATCGTTCATCGTCGCAAGCGTATTCAACATAGCGGGAGAATGAAGGGTGTCGCATATATATCTTGGAACCTTCCCCGTAGTCAATCACTCCTCGGAGAGATCCCAGAATGGTGGCGACGTCGGAGACGCTTGAATAGCCCAGCACCTCCGTTATAGAGGCAGGATCAAGAGGATGAGATGGCGAGGAAAGGATTGTCATCGCAAGGACAGGTCGGAAAGCTCTTCGTGTACTATCTTGCCCTAGGGTGCTGTAAGCATTAATGAGGAGCGCATGGTACATGTCATGGAGTCCAGCTTCTGGGTCGTCAGTGGCCGTGCCTCGCAGATCGAGCTCCTCCTCTACGCGACGTATATCCGCGTCAGGATTGGAAGAGTTGGATAGATATTTGCAGATTGTTGAGGCCCAGATGAATAAGCCGCCGGCGCGCGCCGTAAGTTTTTGTATGTGTTCATCGCTACGCCAAGGCTCTTTCTTGTCGTGCGACAGCGCGAGTTGGTGGAAATGCTGTCTGAAGTATTGTTCGATGTCGTCATTGTTCTCTTCATTATATGAGGAAATATCCAGCGAACGAGCACATCTGATATTTTCTAAAGCATTCGTAATGCTCTCCGTCGGCCTGGTAGTGATGAAGAAACGAACATGGAATCTGAGCAATTGGATCTGAGACTGAAGGAGTGTGAGCAGCTCGTGCCAGTCTCTACACTCGTCAAGCGCATCCAGAATGATTGTGAATGGTGGCGAGGGGGCTGCACAATTCATCAGAGGAGCAACAAGGAGGTCGTGGAATTGGTCAGAAGCATGATCGGGGACAGTATTTTCAAGCGCTCGCAAAAGGTGGTTGCGGTATGATGGGAAAACCTGAGCCAGAGCGCGAGCAATGGTCGCAAAGGTATCTGTCAAACCACCTCGTGAGCCGACCGTCGTACCACCCCGTCGAGCATCACCGTCGGACTGGAAGAAATACGATGCTCCAAGAATCGGTCCAAGAGTTGGCTCCGGCCGCTTGGCGTCGAAAAGCACGCGTGCGAGGGTGTGAGAGATGGTCGTCTTTCCGAAGCCCGCACTACCTGACAAGTACAAGATCACAGCAACGCCGGGTGTCGCCGGGGCCTCTGCCCAGGACATCAGGTCGGAGAGCATCTTCGTCCGGGTACCTTCAGAACAACCTAAGGTGCGCGACCACTGGGCCCCACGGACCTGATAGCTCTGCAGTTTCTGCAAACCTGCTCACAACAGACTTGCTCATAGATACAGGAACAAAGAACTTGTAACTTACGTTGTTCCTGAGATACCAGAGTAATACTCTGATGCGCCTTGATCGTAACGTCTACCTAAAAGACGGGTTAATTAATGCGCGGAGGCGATTCAAAGGGGCTTGCCTGGATTGTCTCGATCATCTCATCAAGAATGCGCCGAAACGAATTTTGCAAATCTTGGTCTGTTTCGTGTCTTAATATCCGGGACGGCAGATCTCTGTTGAGCTCCTCCAGTGCACGAGATAGCAGACCCCTCAGTTCCCTGAAATGCAACTCAAGTTCAGTAGCAAGCTTTGGAACTCTGAGAGAGAACTGACGAGGCATAGTGCTCTAACATTTCTTTCATATCCTGATCGTCCCTCACATCGTATACCATTGCATGCGCCTGAAATGACATGAGCCAGTCTCGTGCCCGGCGACCTAGCAACGTCCACTCTGTCGCATTTCCTCTGACGTCCTGATTTTTGAAACCATTAATGCTCGCAGAAGATCAAATCATTTGAACTCCCGAGTCCCACTCACCATTATCACTTCAATTAGCTTTCCCATGACAGCACCAACGGGTTTGAGAAAGGGAAGCACTTCGAGCGAGTCAGCGACAACAGCCAGAGCGCGGGCGATATCTTTGGCTGTCGAAATGGCTTGATCGCTGCGTGTCGTTTCAAGATTTAGGCGCTCAGTGTCAGTCCACATCGGCTCCTTGTGCCCTAGTGAAGAATGGCCTCGATCAGAGAGATTCAAAGCGGTGTTCGTCTTAGCCCGTCGCTTGAAGTTCAGGTTGAAGAACGTTTTTGGTTTCCTGCCCTTGTTCGTAGAGGGCGGCGAGTCTCCAGGTAAATCATGAGTGACCGATGTCCAGGCTGAGCGCTGACGGCGGGAGCCCCAGGATACCGGGTCCAAATCCATAGTGTTCAGTGTTGTGAACAGGAGATGTCTACACGGCAGGCTCCTTTCCCCAATAGGTTGTTGTGAATGCTGGAGAATGTGTCGCCGAACCACGACGACGGAGTGTTGCAGGTGAGAAGCGCTGGAACACTCACGGGCACCGTTGAAACGGCGTCTTCTAAGGCTCGCTCACATCTACAAGGAGCTCAGATGGCCGCACTGAGTCAAAGACGGCATATACACGAGGACGGGGCTATACGTTCCGTTGATAAACAGAAATACTTGAGCGCGTAAGGAGATACTTCGGTGATAAGTTAAACAGACACGAGTGGCTGCGGTGAGACTCTCATAGATCAGATTGAAGCGCGGGATATCAACCTTAAGGAGTAGTATTGCGGCTCTCCTGGACGTAACATCATGGCTATGGCTCCAGAGACGAATAGCGAGGCTTCTGTGCTGAACATCTGAGGTTAGGTTACGCTGCGAGGAAAGAACTCAAAAACATCACGCACTTCTAATTGCAATCACTACGGTTGCAAATGGACGCCGATCTTTCATTTTATCACACCGGTGCTTCCGGCATGCAATGGCTGGAGAGGCAGCAAACTTGACCAAAGACCTTGTTGAAACATCAGGTACTGCTTGTTTTAGTGGACGTAACCCAAGGTCAGTAAAACAATTTGCCCAGGAGCTGTCATAGAATTCGAGGTGGTGGCGAGAAATGAAACGTTGATTTCATTACTGCTATTTGCGGAACATAAGGCGGTGCGCCACTTTCGAGGCGCGAGATGGCCTCCAGGCAAGACAAATCAATAGCACCTGCGGCAGGGCTCGGATTGACTTAGGAATTTGTACATAGGGGTTTTCAATATATAAACAAATTGTGGTAGCAAAGGAATAGCAAAAATCGGCCCATGAGAGGTCCATAGAGTAAGGGTGCTGTGAACAGTAGCCGGTCCATTGAAGAGGGAGAAAGCAACATATCCCTTCAATACTTCGTACACAGACTCAATGTATGTACAGAATGCTGGATTAAATCAGTGAAGCATGAACACTGCACACAGACTGTTTGACATGCCAGTTACTCCTCCTGGATACTCATTTAGGTGCAGAACTTCTCAAAATTCTTAGGGGCCTCGTGAATTTACCAGATGCTCTAATATGTCTTTCAGAATCATATTGAACCAGAAAATAAATTAATGTGCCCTCAAAGCAAGCTCGTACAATTTCTGCAGGCCGGCCGAGATATGCCCGAACGAGGCACGACGCGTCCAGATACCGTGACGTCGCGCGATAAATGAGTTCCCACGAGCGCGCCGGCGCGTCTCGGGCAGAGCTTGGGGACAGTTCTCGAGTCTCTCAATCGCTCTCTTGGTCCCAGGACTGCTTTATGAATATTGCCTCGTGCGTAGACATATATGAATAAATATTTGGTAACCCTATATGAATTTACAAGATCCTTACGGATTTTGAGAAGTTCTGCACCTAAATGAGTATCCAGGAGAAGTAACTGGCATATCAAACAGTCTGTGTGCAGTATTCATGCTTCACCAATTTAATCCAGCATTCTGTACATACATTGAGTCTGTGTACTGATGAAGAGTTATGGAGGCAGCAGCACACACAGTGCGCCCTACACAACTCACCTGTATTGAGTGGATGCTGTAGCTACTGGTAAAGCTCATATGAACAACCCTTGTCATTAGGTCACAGAGCTGCAGGGTTTATATACACTGTGGCCCATAGGCTGACTAAGCTATGTGGAATATCCCTAATCCTATTGAGCTCCACCTATGATGTCACTGACCCACATGAGCTCCGTGCCCTTGTACAATAGTGGAATATACCAGAATGTTCCAGAGAGTTCTGGTACATTCTGGTACGTTGTAGAACCTGGCAGCTAAGTCAGCGCCTAGTTCAACATGTACGAAGTCTCCTGGAGGCTCCCTACTCTAATATCCTACAAGGCCGCTGGTGTTCCCGGTGCTTCCGCCGGAGTTAGGAGAAACGTGTTTCGAGTCTTATAAGAGTGGACGCGCTGCTCGATTGTCCACTCTTATAAGCCTTGTTATTTGGGAGGGTCATGGAGAGGCAAGCCAAAATAAAGTTTACATAATTATATAGGCTAAGTGGTGATCGCGTGGTTTCCACATGGTACGCACTTACAGTAACCCTAGCAGATGCGGCCGCCTCGAAACGACCGCTGGGTAGAAGGGTGGGTAAATTGCAGTATAGGCGCCCTAGACTCGCGACCAGTCCTGTACGCAATGCACACGCCTTCCTTTTTTGGTTTCGGAGTGATGGAAGGCGTGAGATTGCGAACGGACTGGTGACAACGGACAGTCACATAGCGGGGTCACAACTTTCCCCGCCAAGTGTGACTCCGACTTAGAAAAATTTGCCCCCTCAGACGTACAAAATCGTCTCTGGCACACATTGTTCAATGATGTTTTTGAAGTGAATGGAGTTGACTGGAATAGGTGAGAAAAGAGGATTTTCTCCTTGAGTCAGTCCAAATTCATCGAAATTTGACCTATGTCAAATGAATCTATGGCCTTCAAAACCTACAATGGTGTACATCTCCCAAGGCATGATTTTTCTGAGTTATGAGGCTCTCAAATCACAAGTCCCACTCATAGTTGGCGCGTGTCACGCGCATCCCGCCAAAAGGGCGACCGTAGTTCCCAGCCGCTTCGCAGTGTAGCGAGTATTACGAGCGGAGCTTGAATTGCGAAGTGGCTGGTATCGAGCCTATAGGCGCCCTATCGTACAACCTTTCGCCCTATGCTGGTCCAAGTGCACAATTATTCCACCCCCCCGGTATTTCCTGTGTTACCCCGGTAATTGTGAGTGGCAGTGCTGGCAGATACCGCATCTGGAGTTAAAATCTCACGACTATTGGGAAGCGTTTAATCGGCATCTGCCGACCTTGCTCACATGTCACATTGGCCTCGGGCTCTTCTAAGGTCCAGTGGACAGTGTACGTTAATACTGTCGATCTGACTGGGTATCTGAGTATTGTACGACACTGGAACGGTCAGGTAACTACCTTAGGTGTGCAACTGTCGCAGTCGAGACTCGCTGCAGCCTACTGAGTGCATCTCAAGCCTGCTTCCAGGTTCGAGGATGATACGAGAACAAAATTAACTGATATTAAAGTGAATGTACTGTAGCCTATGATCAGAGTACTTATCTATCTATTGTGAGAATATGAAGGTGGCAGAAAAAAGATGAATGAATGATATGGGATAATCAGATATCTAAATGAATGAAACGCAGCTCATATCACATCGACGGACTGCTTGAAATGTTTCAAAAGTATTTCATGCTACACTGTTGGTCGTAAGGGTCCTCGATGTTGAGATCGACCTCAGACGAGGCAGACGCGACCGTATCGTGCCTCCGCAACCGACACGAAGTAGGGGAATGGTGAGAGCTTCCCGATTTGTCGACCGCTGGCTCTTCAAACGACCTTCCAGATACCGGCGACGTTGACAACTGATTTCGTACAGATCCGTGCGTGGCCTGGCGTGTAACGGTCTGAGTTGCGACTCGCGAGCGTTGCTTCTTCGCCGATCTCGAGCCGTACTGCTGCTTCACTGGCCTGGGTGCAGGTCGACTTGTAGCCTCCGAGTCCTCGTCATCTGAGCCAGCAGCTAGGTCAAAGAACTTCAAGTCGAAGTTTGGTCGCGGTTTGCTTTTGACGTTCCTGCATCGAGAACGACTAATGGAATGTGGGCTTGCAGAACCCCGACTCGCAGTAGATGCTATGAGGGGTCGTCAGTGAATCAACCGAGTGACTGGTACGCGCCGCAATAGCGCTGTCAATTTACTACTCACAGTTTTGATCCTCAGATTCACTCTTGGCTGACTCGGACTCCGCTCCGTCTGAACATGAATCGGCACCTTTGTGCCGCTTCTGGTCTCTCTCTTCAGCCGTATCCGACCCTGGATCCAGTTCAACATCACTGCTCTTGTCGATAGTCTCAGACCGAGGCCGCTTGGATGGGATAACAGAGGGAGGACTGAGCGGGAACAGATGTGCTGGTCATGATTGGAGGAAACAGTGAGTATCCCACACAACAACTTTCAGTAACTCGAGACTGACCCTTCCTTTTCCCTTTACTCTGCGCAGCTTGCGCCTTCTCCCGGATCACCCTCCGGGCGTCGCATTCAATCGGGCGTCGCGTCGCTTTTTAGACATCGAATGACGTCTGTAAGCTTAAGAATTTACTCTCGTGACTTAAGATATCGCGTACCAATATATATAATGCTGTCCTACCATGACGCCTTGGCGGAACCCTTGTTCCAGTATGCATGTGTTCCAACGGGAAACGGAAATGGTGCAGGGCTCAGCCGAGACCGCGACTGGGTACAGAGAACCCATTGCAGCAATTCCTCATTGGTTGACGAGTGCAAAGCGGGGAGTGTGTCGAGATGTTCGAAAAGGTATGGGAATATCTTCCTCAGTTGCTCATCGAGCATAGCGAAATCCCAGGACTGGTCTAGGTATACCCCAGAGATGTTCATAGCCGCCAATCCTTCAACACTCAGATCCTAGATTTCTTGTTTGTCTGGTGCTTTCCTCGTGTTCAGCTCATAGCGGCCTGTCTCCTGTTACCACATGTGGCTGTCAAAGGAAAGTAGACCAGGCGAAGTAACGTCTCACGTACGTCATGTCAAAGTCAGGCCATCCGTAACGGCAACGACTGCCCAAACTCGGAAGGTTTGCGTGCCACCACTGCCCTCACTATCTACTGTATGTTCAGATGCAGAGGATTTTTCCTTGTTTGCCTTTGGATCTAGGTGTAAGCACCTTCAGTTGAAATTGAATAATGTCTAAAAACCTTTCGTTTAACAGGATGATTTGGCTTGAGCAACGTGGCGCTAGTCCGTCGTAGCCCCGCATTGCTCTCTTCATGAGCCGCGAGTACGGTCTTGGAGTTGCTAGCAGCGGATTTCCCAGTGCCGATCCCCATATTGCTCAGAACAGTATTGACAATGACAGCTGATGAGCCAGATGACTGTTTTGCCTTAGAAACCATGCTGGATGAGGCCACGGCCTTGGTTTGTCGAGAGCACTTCCGTTGGCTAGTCATTACGGGCTAAGTTGTGGTATACGGTCAGTCTATGAAGTCGGCATCTTATAGACATTTACTCATTGATTATGATTGCCGGTACGATCGGCGAACGTGGTATTACCCTACTGACTACGACATGGCTTGGCTACCTAGCATCTGTACTCTAGTCATAATGTCGAGTCCTTGTGCCCAAAGGTCCGCACGCGGCTTCCAAATGTGTACTGGTAGAGGAACTCGAATAGATTTCTTGCCCCGCCGACCTGACCTTATGGATTCAAAAGCGGGGTAGTGGGTGTCATCCCATTCATGCGGATGACATCTGTATCCTGACGGGATGTGACCCTCAGCCTTAACTATCTCTAATAACCTATAGAAGGCTGCTTCCTGTGTGATATCTGCAAATGGATCAGCCGCTTGCGGAACTTCAACGGCATCGTGGTGAATGTGAGTCTCAACATCACTCGCAACTCGATCACCTAGCGGCTCCTCTTCATCTGGGGGATGACCAGCACCTGTCTGGTCTGGTCGACGCACCGCTGGCCTCCCATGTGTACCGTAGTAACGTTCGATGGTATCGGGATGTATGCTTGCACACTCGTCAGCATACACCCCATGCTCTGTTAAACCGACTAATCACATGTCCTGCGCAGTGATCAAGCAGCTGCACTGATACCAGCCAATGATACGTGAACTCACATTGGGACTCCGATCGTGCCCTTCGCCAGAGATAGGGTGGGCATTCCAGACCTCTTGGAAGTTCCGACAATCATCAAAGTTGATCATCGGAAGAAAAAGGTACTGTAGGAGCCATAAATGAAATGCATTCGATCTGTCAAGGGAATGCATCCGTTCTAGGCGGAAAAAGAACCCTCGCCATGAATGGGCAAATTGTGTTCCAACCTCCACCCACAGACGCTCTATCCGAGTGTTATGTGTGGACCTTCAGGGATTCACGCCGCATTAATTGTCGCATTTTGATGAAATAGAGCATCACTTACAATCCCCAGATGAAGGAGGCACGGTTCGGGCCCCTGTACAATATCATGAAGACGGAAACCTGCTTATTTTCCCCTCCTCGATCTCCTCGCATCTGTGACGGCATACCATATCTATTGACAGCATCGAGGAAGACATCCAAGACCGTCAATGCCCTATTATTGTCACTTGCCCTCAAGCCTGTCACCTGCAACTGAATGTCAGATTTCCTGTTATCCCAACATCACTAGAAGTAGACTCACGGTCCGACAATAACCGTCAACAATCCCATGGATGACGATGCCCCACAGGATTAATTTGTGATGTCCATCAATGTGCCATAGCGCATTCGGCCGTGCGACTTTATACTTCCATCGCTGGACCGTCACTCGTTCCCGTAAGACTCTGCCCAATCCGTCTACACGCCGAATTGAGGCTCGTACTCTCGCCTTCTGGATTTGCAACCCATGTCTCCTCAGGAATCCGATCAGATAGCGAATACCAGACTGGGGCTTGTCCCGACGGAAGGTCTTGACTAAACGATCCAAATCGACGTCGGTAAGCGCAGTGAAATTGTAGTCCACATTATAAAGCTTGAGGTAATACCGCATGGTATTACGATGAACGCCACAGATCTCAGCCAATTTCTTGACCATGATCCGTCGCTGTGGAGACATCGCTTCCTGAAGATACTCTAGGTCGATGATCTTGCGAGGACGGCCACGTCGTCCAGTTCGCGTCACAGTGATCGGCTCTATGTGGTTGACCTTGCTGTTGTCACTGTTAGGCAGGCTCATTCAGTGTGCTTTTGGATGAGCCCCATGATGCTTACATGCCATCGGCCCCTATCTGTGCTGTCCGCAGTCTGACCACTAGTTCCCCCATCGCTTCCGCAACAGCCTTGATCCAGTCAAGAGGCAAGCCTTCTTCTTCGGCAGAAGTCTCGAGAGCCATGAGAACCGGTGTGATATTGTTAAGAATGTTCTCCATGTGGATTCGAAGCCGCAAGGGGTCATCCTGAGCCTGCTCGATGAGCCTCGTCCCGATCGTATAGGCGTCGTGTATGATGCTATATGCATTCGAAACGTTCAGCGACCAGCTCGATGCTAGCTGACTCTCTCTGGGCGGTAGCGGAGGTAGGAGAGGCATCGTGGGGTGCGGATAGTGCGACCGGTGGTCTGAGTTCTACTGGGCCTCCAGGTTACTAATAGTGCATCGGACACAAGCGCCTGCTTTGACACGTAAAATCGGAAATTAAACCAAAACACTGACATAAACTTGGACCTACAAGTGAGCATGTGCAACACGATGTCCTTACAAAACACGCGTCCGTGGTTTGCAATGGAGGCTGCGCAAAGAGCACCCGCAGCTTCTGCAGTCGTGCACCATGAGCGATATTACTTCCCTGCCGGGACAGTCGTCATAAAGGTGCGTCCGTCCGATACTTTTTCTTCATGTGAAGCTTGAGCTTGAGTATTAGGTTGGACACGTCTTATACCGTCCGCACCGCGACATCCTAGACTCGGAGGTCTTCCACCATATGTTCTCCATGCCACCTGGAGATTCCGGTGCGGAAGGGCTGGATGATGTGAGGCCGATTACGCTCGCGTTTGTCACAACTCGACAGTTTGAAGACTTCTTGGATTTTGTCTACAGACCGTAAGTTTCATGACTCGCCTCAGGCTCGTGCCAGGAACAAACACTGATACATGAAATGCTGCAGTTGGTCTCCACCGCCATACAGCGTTGATAGCCTTATCAATCTCTACGAGCTCGGGAAAATGTGGCTGATGGACGATGCCATGGCCTTTGCTCGCAGCCAGCTAGATTCAATGACTCTTCATCCAGCACGACGTCTTCAAGTTGCACGCCTGCTTAGGGTCGAGGCGTGGCTTGCTCCCGCCTTTCGCCAGCTGGTCACCATGCCGCTGCGTGATCTGACACTTGAACACGGTCGGCAGATAGGGCTCGAGACATACCAAATCCTCACAAAAGCAAAGGATGGTATCGAACGCGAGCGGCGATTAGCTGCTGCGAAGCCGCCGATGCTCGATGTTCAGGACGTGGAGTGCGAGGATCACCGGAGATGTCAGAGTAACTGGAATGTGTTGTGGAAGAGGAAAGTCGGTGCCGCTCTCTTACATCCCGACACGCCACTCGCGTTTGCGCAGGTGCTCGACCATGTGCAATCCGTAGAATGGGTGGATGTCTTCACCGGATGCCGTGACGGTGCCATCGAGAAGCTTGAAGCTAACGGTTTCGTGAGGGACAATGAAATCATCCAGCAGGCAGTCAGTCTACTTTCACCTTACTATCAGTCTGATGACTCGGGATTCCGTGGGCCGCGAATTTGATCCTTGGTCAATACACACTATTTTACTATGATTTTTAATATCTGATTGTCACTGTCCCATTGCTTACTGGTACTCGTACTGAATCTGACTTTACTTGAGATCCCCAAAGTTTACCGGGGGCGTAAGAGACATGACTTAACGGGGCACCTGTGTACACATTACCGGGGTAGTTATGCATTGAGTTCATTCAACTCGTAACCGGGAAGACAATGTAAATAATACCGGGGTGCTACTGTGTTAGAAGCCGGAGGGTTTTTTCCGGGGACGGTCCATAGTCTATGTTTCCGGTGCTAATATATTTTTTGTGCACTTGGACCAGCATATCGCCCGGCCCTAAAGATTGCAACACCTCCTGCCAACCTCCTGCCTCCTCTCGAACTGTACTATAGTGCTGCTCAATTCTTATTCCGTTCGTCTGTTCGTCTGTTCGTTCGATTGAGCGCGTCCAAAAGAGTGAGGAAGCAATGATGGCCGGCGATCCGGGACCACGGTCATGTGATGTGCTCACCGGTCGCGGCAAGGCATCGAGAATCTCCGTGGCTAGTTATGTGGACGAAATCCGTCGACGTAGATTACATGCCACATTATTCTCCTCATAGCAATTCTGAGATGTATGGACCGGGTGCCCAGGCTGAGTAGGAGTATTGACCCAATTGGGGCTCTTATCATGCTTGTGCATATATCTTGAAAAAGCCTCAGGAAATAAATGTGCCGGCCACCAACGGAGAACACATTACATGACCGTGGTCCCGGATCGCCGGCCATCATTGCTTCCTCACTCTTTTGGTCGCGCTCAATCAGGACCCCTGAAAGTACTAATGGAGGTTAGATACCAGAGAACCTGATTTCCTTCATTTTTACCGGGACCAAATTTCGCCTAATTTGGCTGTTTTTACCGGGACGCGATACCAACCTAGCCATGTGGCTCGAGATTTACCGGGACCCAGATATCCAACCTCCGAATTTTGATCCCGTTACAAGGGTTTTTCGTGGCCAAATTTGATCAAAATAAGGTATTATTCGCTATAATATGCGATACATAGGCCCAAAACAGTGCAATCTCAGCTCAAATATTTATTGGGGCAAATTGTGGCTGCACAAGCGAGTATTGAGTGCCGGGAGAAGCCGGGTATATACCACAATGGTATCTGACCTTGGATATCGAGCCTCAATTCTACCGGGACTGAAGTATCCGGCCTTACCACTGGGTACATCACCCATATTGAGCATGCACAAAACTTCGAGAATAACCGGTCAAAGGTCAAACTTTTTTCATGATTGTCCATTGCACAGTCAGTGAAACAAATTAGAATAATACTACTTTTGAGTGTGCAAAAATCTGATTGTGACACAGGATATGATCTTTGTTCAGCACTGTTCAATGAACTTTCATTTGTTTTGCAAGGCAACACTATGAACAAAATTTGACCTTTGTCCGGTTCCTTTCACACTTTCTCAGTGGCTCAATATGGGTATTGTACCCAGTGTACGGGCGCTGCGCCACATTTTACCGCAACCGTATCTAACATACAGCCTCCAGACCTCACTTTTTTACGGAATTGGTATCTAACCTCTATCGGTATTTTCAGGGGTCCTGCTCAATCGAACGAACAGACGAACGGACGAACGAAATAAGAATTGAGCAGCACTTATGTCTCCCGCAAAATCGGCTGCTTCCTTCCCAATCATTTTCTCGACCACATACGAACTCGCATCCATCCCCGAACTCACGCCGCTGTCAATCCTGACCACAACCTCGTTCACCCCTATCCACCTCTTTTCCCTCAGTACTGTACCTCGATGTCCCCACTTGTCTGTACATGTCACTGTGTGTCGACAACTCCGACAGCTTGTCGTAGAACATGTGACGCATCGTCCCTTCTTACCCCTCAGAACGCTCACCGCCGATGATCATGGTGCCCGTACAGACACTGAGACAGCCAGCTGAACGCCATGCGCGCCCCGCAGCTTCAAACTCACGAACCTCGTCATCAAACTTAGTACCTGCTTCCCCTTCGTGATCACCTCCGACCCGCACCACGCACGACGAGACCATCAGAGTGCTTGAACCGTTCCCTGATCTGGGAGAGGTGGTAGGATGAACGGTACGAGTGGGGATTGTGGCAACAACATTCGTTGGGACCTGATGTATAACCACGATGCGGATTGGCCAGCTCAAATGTACAATGGGTGAGAAAGGAGCCGTACGAACTGCGTCCCGCCTCTCAGTCTCACGGTTCTTCCCCCTGCCTCCTCTCGAACTCCACGATTTCTCCCGCAAAGTCCGACGCTTCCTTCCCCGCCAGCTCCTGGACAATGTACAGACTCCCATCCAACCCCGAACTTACGCCACCCGTCGTCACGATGTTGACACCAGCCTCGTTCCGCCCAGCATCGACCCACCTCTTCCC